CAAAATTTAAAATAATAATGATGCATTTCATTTTCTTAATGTTGAACAGGAAATTTGATAGATTCTTCGAATTTATAAATAAAATAATATATTTATAATATAAAATCTGCCGATCTTACTGGCAGCACCTTGCGATAGTAACCAGCAAATGAGGAAGAAAATTACATTGATATTGGTACCGGTTAGAAATAGCTATCCATTTTTATCTATATTTCTCTTAATCAATTTCTGAATTACCCCCTCCCCCCCCCCCAAGATATCTTTACAATATTACTTTACTTTAACTTATTTTATTAACATTACACATTATTATTTATATTACACTTCACATTGATTAAAACTGACTCAAAAATAGTAGTGTTGGACTTCCCTAAACTACGTTATATTTATGCCACTTTAAGGCTCCAAGGAACATAGAACTTAATTAGCATGGATAGCTTTCATCAGCTAAAAAAATCATTATTTAGATATGTCCGAAATATTTCTTTTATTTTTTAACCTTATATAGCTCAAAAGAATGAACAAAAACAAGAACGAAGAAAATATACACGTACATGTTACAGTTCGTATGTTTTCGAAAATACAATTCTTTATAAAAGTAATAACCTTATCAAAATATTTTAGGCAACTGATATAAAAGTGATATAAAACTTTTCTTACATCCGGAGAAATCTTGCTCTTTTTTCTCCGGTCTAGTTTAAGGCAGAAGTCGATCAAAGCGCAATTTACACTATCTTTGATATTCCCATAAGCGTAGTGCAGTAATGTCAGCAGCTTTGAGGAAATTCTAAATTTCACATGTTTAAAATTAAAACTAGAAACTTTAAAATTCCTAAGAGAAGATTTGGAACTTTTTTTAAACTTTTTTCTTTAGGGAGAGGGGGCCAATATATTATTTGCCCAGAAATAAAAATGAAAAAAAAAGAATATATCTTTTAAAAAGCGCAATTTAAACTAATCTTTGATATTCCTATAAGTGTGGTGCAGTGCGATTAATGTCAACATCTTTGAATAAATTCTAAATTTCACATGTTTAAAATTAAAACTAGAAACTTTTAAACTTTTTAAATTCCTAAGAGAACCTTTAGAACCTTTTCAATCTTTTTCCCCCTCCTTAAAGAAAAAAAGTTTGAAAAAAGCTCCAAATGTTCTCTTAGTAATTTATCTTTATCTAATTTATCATTATCTAAATAATAGGTTTTTTTTCAGCTGATGAAAGCTATCCATGCTAATTAAGTTCTATGTTCCTTGGAGCCTTATAGTGGCATAAATATAACGTAGTTTAGGGAAGTCCAACATTTCTATTTTTGATTCAGTTTTTATCAAGTGTAATATAAATAATAATGTGTTATGTTAATAAAAATAAGTTTCATGTAAAGGTCTCTTGGGGAAGGGGGGGGGGGGGTACTCTGAAATCGATTAAGAGAAATATAGGTAAAAATTAATAGCTATTTCTGACCGGTAGCAATATCAATGTAATCTTCTTCCTCACTTGCTGGTTACTGGTATAAAACTATCGCAAAGTACTGTCAGTATGAACAGCAGATTTTATAATGTAAGTATAATATTAATTTATCTATAAATGCGAAGATTCTATTAAATTTCCTGTTCAACATTGAACATATATATATATATATATATATATATATATATATATATATATATATATATATATATATATATATATATATATATATATATATATATTGCCTGCCACTCAATGGACTGCCCCCGGATATTTCTTAGGATATACATTTGTTTAAGTTTCTCTTCTTCTCCGATATGCAGCTTGTTCTGGTCGTCTTCTATTCCAACTCCTTTTCTGTCAATCACTATTCTGAAAAACACTTTAGTTTTACTGATATTTGTGATTTTTCCTATTTAAATGCGCATACACTAATATTTAAATCGCCCTTCTTTAGTATTTTTGCATTGAGTGATCTTTTCCAATATGGTGGTACATGTACATGTATATCCTGCTCGCTGATGATTCTGTTGAACAGTATTGCTAATTCTGATATTGTAAACGTTATACTTTCTTTAAATAATTCTGCTTTGATGTTATCTTTGCCAGGGCTTTTTCAATTTTCTATTTCAAGGATTGCCTTCTTAACTTCTTCTCTTATTGGCAATGTATCGATTTCTGTATATGTACTCACCTGAATGATACATTCTGAAGGATTTGTTTGAACTCCCCCAAAGAGCTCTTGAAAACTTTCTAATATGTTTCCATCCTTGAGTAGCTCGCCATTTTTTTTATCTTACGCCACTTGTTCTGCTTCTTTTCTTTCCACGGAGCTGTTTAGTCGGTTAGTACGCTTAGCTCAGATAGTTGCGTTTGCTGCATTTTCTGCCTTTCATGCTAAATATTCTGTGTTTCTCCTTTTATTCGCACAAGGTCTTCTTTTAACCTTTTTATCCTTTGCTTTATATTCTTCTTTCTTATCTTCCCCTTTTCTCTCTCTCTCTCTCTCTCTCTCTCTCTCTCTCTCTCTCTCTCAGTTTCTTCGTTCAATTTCTTTCTTTCATCTATGTTGAAGGAATGTTTCGTTGGTGAGCCAGTCCTAATGTTTCCACTCTCTCTCACTTCATAGATTTTTTCTGCTGTTTCGTTACATATTTCTTTCACTTGGGTCCACTTTTCTTGACTGTGTTTTCCTCTTCTGACAGTTGTTGGAACCTGTTTTTTTTTTCAATTTGGAATCTTCTGTATACTCTTGGTTCTTTTCAGTCAGCCGACATCATACATTTTCCTGATATTTGCTCTTGGCATTATGCCAACCTTTCTTACTTCCGTCATTTATAAGATGGTGATCTGAACTGATATCTGCACCACGCATACAGGATCGATCGTATATCTGCAAATGTTTTATTTCTCATGTACATCAAAGTGTTTAAAGAGAGTTCCAAGTTGTTTAGGCTTACATTTCAGCTAACCTCACCCCATTTTCATTCATAGTGCCTATTCATTCTTGTTCCATGAGACTTTCCAACTTTAAACATTTGCATTGCCTATCACTATTAATACGTCATGTTTCAGTATGTTTCGGTATGTTTACAATCTCTCTTTGTAGTTGTTCATAAAAGATGACCTTATCTGTTTCATCTGCGTCAATTGTTGGACTGTATATCTGCATCATAGTCATTTCAGCAAAACGAGAGAGAAAAAGTGTGCAGTGCTGATTCTATTGACAGGATTCCACTCAATCCGTCTTAGATCATTGAGTGTAAAACCTCCTCCTCTATGTTTCTCAGCTCCAGAGTACAAGATGGTTACTCCTGATGTTGTCCTTAGTTCGCCAAAGAATGTCCATCTTACTTCACTTGGTCCAATTATGTCGATGTTATAGCTGTTGATCTCTCTTATGATGTTACATGTTTTCCGACTTCAAAAATTGTTCTAACATTCCAACAATCTATCTTGATGATGTTCTCGGGTGTCGTGATGAATGGCATTCGAATTCCTTCCAGGCCATTGAAGACCTTTCTGATTGATTTCTAATAGCCATCATACTGTCGGGTTCCCAATGAAGATAATCTTTGTTAGAAATGTCGCATAGCCCTTCCTGTAGTAGTGTTGTTTGTTGTAGCGGTTTCCGGAATCATCTGTTTATGAAAGGAGGTGCCGAACCACCATCTTCATGTCCAGAGGACAAATATATCAGTTTATAACGCTCCCTACAAACCGGGTTTATGATCAGAGTTTCCTCTCCCAGATGAGATCCCAGCCAAGGCTGCCGAGCCTGTTCTTCCTGGGCGCCCTTGGGAAGTCAGTCTGGGGCCGTATGGTATCAAGCATCTATCTGCCTCCACGAGGAGGCATCGCAAAGGACTTGTGGAGAGGCTATGTACTTGTAAAGGAACACTTACATTTGGCCCCTTTTCTGCTAGCAAGCGTGAGAGCTTAAAGCGAGAGGTGAAAAGCACACAGACACTTATACCAACACATTACACGCATCGCACATTCTTTAGCAGACGCATAAGCCAATCTACTTCAAATAAACATTAGATGAGACGGTTTTCAATAAATATTGCCATTGTCTTTCTTATCAAATATTAAATAAATTCAGGAATTTTCAGACCTAAATTTTTAACTTATACCAAACCAGCAGCTGACGAGTGTTAAAGCTATCATCATTTCAAAAGTATAATCCGGTTTGTATGAATTTTCAAAACATGACAATGTACTTCATAAAATTTTATCAACAACATCGATGTTTGGTATCTGCTGTCAAATGATATTGTTATATCAAAATGTACTTTTGTATAAATGAAGGAAAGAATAAAATAAAAACAAATCATAGGATTGGTTTGACTGTTTGTATAGAAAATCTTTAAACATACAACTGAATCATGACAGGAGAAATTAAAAGTCATAGGGTGCACAAATGTACTATGTATATTAATAAAATTGCACTTTTCAGTCTGTTTGAAAAAGTAAAATACACGGATAGGATTGTCCTTCCTTCAAAAAAATATCCTGTTCGTGCAAAATGTAATCAATTTTTATATCTCAAATCGAGTGTTATCATCATTTTGTCTCTCTTAAAAGAGCCATATGAATTGAAAAAATATATAATTTTTTTTATTAATCAAAATTAATTTAGTCGCTATATATATTGCATTGCAATTGATCTTGAGACATCTTACACGAAAGGTAACACACACTTTGGTCGTAAAATGATACAAGTTTATTTTGTAATCGTTTTTGCAGCGTCCTGTGGCGTTCTAGCAGCCGCACTGACGCAATTTGAACAAAACTTCTTAGATGTAAGTATAACTTCAAATTTTTAACAACTCCTCTTCCATTTATATATAGAATTAAAAGAAAATTAACACTCTGAAGCACCCTGACGCTGTTTGAACAAAAGGGGTATTTTTTAAAGATATAATTGTAGCCTGAAATCGTTTACATCATGTTTGCTTCATTTAATCTTTTTTTCTTTTTTTTAACAAAATGTCGAACCGTATCATGTTATTTCTCGTTGTGTTATTTTCCTATGTGCAAGGCCCATAACGCTAAACGACGGAGCGTGGTGCCAACAGCTTCTAACATGATAGAACTGGTGAGTAAAATTTTTACAAAATTCATCATTTTTTATATAATTGACGCGTATTCAAGTCTCTACTACATGTAGCTATAATATAAATAAAAGTTACTAAATATACGTTATTATTAGACAGTTAAATCATACGTAGATGAAATACCGTTACACATTCAAGATTATAGGCGCCGGTAGGTCAAAAAATCGAATGCCTTAAATTTTTTGCAGAATATGCTAAATACATGTTTTAGTTTTTAATTTTATATTTTTAATATTCATTGAATAGAAATGGAGTGCAGAGTTGGCGTCTGTGGCCGAGAACTATTCCAGGAAGTGCGTGTATGGACATAATCCAAACAAATATGATGAGGCACCAAGCTTTAAACGAGTGGGAGAAAACCTACGTTATTCTACAAGTAAGGATTCTTTAAATCTTTTCCATGTATTCTTCTATCTAGTTTCACACTTGGCAAATTTAAAATCTTCTATATTAATGTTAAGTTATATATAAAAAAACAAAAATACATTGTATAAAACTACATGTAATAACAACTAAATACATGTAGCTGCAATGATATAGCCCTCTCAATTTTTTTAAAATAATTTTTTTGTTTATTTATTTATTTATTTATTTTTAAATCAGATATTTAAAAAAAAATCGGAGACGGCTACATTATTGCAGCTAAAATACATGCAATTTTAAAAGCTGAATCAAATAATTCTAATATAAGTCATTATTAAAAAAATGTCATCCAGTAGATGAATATGCACTGAAATTAATTAAACATTTGAACAAATGTTAAACATTTATTTCACAGGAGAAGAAACTCCTTTGGAAGTTGTCAGTAGCTGGGATGATGAAAGAATTGATTACAATTACAATGCCAATACGTGTGCTCCTGATAAGAAGTGCGGGCATTACACTCAGGTTAGATTGAACAATTTTGAGAAGAAGTGACAAAGAATTTGTTTTATTCATTTTTTAAAGAAACTATGTAAAAAATTTCGCTGTCCTTTGAAGGTGGCATGGGCGGAGACTGAATACGTGGGATGTGCTGTAACCAAGTGTACACCTCTGGTAGGAAAGTCCGACTCCGCCTACTACTATGTCTGCAATTATGGCGAACGGTAAAAAAAAATAATATAATAGTATATGAACGAAAATGTATTCAATATAAGTGAAATTTTGCTAAGAAAAGGGAATCAATCCATCCACCATCTGTATTACAATGTGATACATGTAGGACAATTTACTTGGAAGATGTTGTAACTAAAAATATCTCCCATCTATCACCTTCTTTCTAAGTTGAAAAACAGTGTATCAGCTAATATATATTCTAATCATTCAATTATTGTTATGTATGTATGTTTGTTTGTTTGTTGTTATTTTGGAGTTTTTTTGGTTAGGGAAATCATACTTACTTACTTACTTAGGCCTCTTCATGCCATGTGGCACATAAGGCAGCTAGGGAAATCATCCCTGTAAATTATTATGCCTTTTTTATTATTAGTGGGAACATGAATGGAAATCGGCCTTATATTTCGGGTACACCTTGTAGTCAATGTCCTTCGGGATATACCTGTAGTAATAAACTATGTCGCCTGTAAATGTGGGTTGTGTACAAGTAAGTCTATTTTTTATTTTACTAATAATATAAAAATGTTCTTCACAATCATGTTTTGCAGCCACTTAATGTAAAGTAGTGCGCCGCGTGAATGGCCGCACATTTTTGCTCTCTGCTATTATCAATTATTTTTGTGTTATATTGCGCGCAATTCTGTGGATTTTTATATCAGCATGTTGGTAAAGACTTCAAGAACAAGATTCACTTGTTCGTTTGCGGATATTTTAGCATTCTTGTGCATATTTTATGAATTTATATTCAAACTTTTGTCGGTGAACCAGGGTGAGTTGAAATCATGCAAAGTGCTGACCGTAACTCCTATTGTGTACACCCCTGCCGAGCTAAAGTCGCTCAGGTATAACAATACCATGTCGTCTGTCAGACTTAATGAAAATGTAATGCATAAAATAAAATTATTTGGAATTAAACAGCGCTATCGTGGTCACAGATCAAGACGAAGGAAACCGAAACAAAAAGACTGGAACACGGGAGTTCATTTAGATTTGTTAAGACCACTTAGCAGAAGGCTAATTGATTACTCAATAGACAGAAATCTCTCATTCGCGGTTGTAAACACGCAATCAATATATAATAAAGTCGAGGAATTCATTCATCACATTATAGAAAACAAACTAGATATTTGTTGTGTTACTGAAACTTGGTTAATCGACAGTAATCCGAAACACAGAATTGTGAGATCTGATCTAAATATAACTGGATATACCTTTATTGATGTACCCCGAAAATCCCGATCTGGTGGCGGAACTGGAATTCTATTTAGAGACACACTTCAAATCAAAGTAACTGACTCTTGTCAAAAAGATGCATTCGAACACTCTTTGTTTGAACTAGCTTTTAATTCCACGACTATACATATTTTGGTTGTATATCGTCCCCCATACTCGAAAGCCCATCCAGTGTCTACGGCGAAATTCTTTGACGAATTTACACCCTCTCTTGAAGAAATATTGTCAACCCATCGCACAGTTATAATTACAGGAGACTTTAATATTCATTATAATAAAACTAATGACTAAGACACGATCGCTCTAAATGAAATGTGCAATGACATGGGTTTAGTGCAACTTGTCAACTGCCAAACGCATCGATCTGGAAACATACTTGATCTGATCATGATCCAAAACAACGACAAAATAGTGTTGTCTGAACCGACCGAAAATTTTCAGATAAGTGACCACTGTTTCATTCATACATATATATCTCTTCCTAAGCCTAAGGTAACAAGGGAAATCAGAAAAGTTAGAAAACTAAAGGACATAGATGAAACGCAATTTCAGGCGGATCTAATCCAATTCAACGAAAGTGCCACCAAATATGAAAATTTAGAAGATACAGCAAAGTTTTACAATTCCGAACTCAGAAATATTTTAGACAAACACGCTCCGGAAAAAGAGAAAATTGTGACTATTCGACCTTCCCTACCATGGTTTACAGAAGAATCGCGTCTCCTTAAAACACGTTGCAGGTCAGCGGAACGAAGATGGAGAGGAAACAAGACCCCGGTTAATGACCACGCCTTCCGATGTGCTAAACGAGCCTACAGGAAAAATCTCAGATACAACAAGTATCAGCATATTAACTCAAACATAGCCGAATGTGGAAATGATTCTTCAAAAATGTATGAATTAATATTTGGATTGATTGGCAGAAAAAACTGCAATCCTATGCCACTTAACGCCAGCGACGCATCACTGGCGGAGGAATTCAGTTCCTTCTTTATGGATAAAATTTTAGCCATTCGCAAAAGTTTAGACGATTTTGAAAAATTTGACCCAAACCTCGGACTTAAATGTACACAAGAGTTTAATTCCTTTGATCCAGTTTCAGATGAGGATGTTTTACGTGTGATTAAAAGTTCAAAGCCCACTACCTGCCCAACTGACCCAATACCGTCAAAATTAATCAAACAATTTTCTGATGTGTTATTGCCAACAATTGTTTTCATAGTTAATAAATCACTAACATCTGGTTTATTCGCTAATGAATGGAAAACTGTTATAGTTCGACCCTTGTTAAAAAAAAGTGGTTTAGATGTGATTTTGAAAAACTATCGTCCTGTAAGCAATTTAAGTTTTATATCAAAAATTGTGGGAAAATGTGCTCTGAACCAATTTATGAAATATCTGGAACCAAACAGATTACTACCTAGCTATCAAAGTGCATATAGAAGAGGGTTCAGTACCGAAACAGCTCTCCTGAAACTGTCATCAGACATTCTGTGGAAAATGGAAAAACAGGAAGTTACTGCCTTAGTCGCATTGGATCTCTCTGCTGCATTCGACACAGTCGACCATGCCATACTTAGCAACGTGTTAGAAACTACTTTCGGAGTATCTGAAGTGGCTCTTCATTGGTTTCAATCATACCTTTCGTTCAGAAAAGCCGAAGTGCATATCAACGCGTCTAAATCACAGCCTAGATGTCTGGACTTTTCGGTACCGCAAGGCAGCATATGCGGACCTGTGTTACAAATGTATATACCGTGTACGCGAGTACGCTACAACATTACATCAAAGACTCGGGTGTGTCATTATTAGGTTACGCAGATGACCACTCTGCATACGATAGTTTTAATCCGAAGATTTTCGCTGATGAGAAACGTGTAACAACAAATTTAGAAAAAGTATTGGTTACCATCAATGACTGGATGAATCTGAATAGACTAAAACTTAACCCTAGTAAAACTGAATTTGTACTATTTGGCAGTCAACAGATGTTATCTCTATCATCTTCCATTTCCCTTAATGTAGTGGATACGGATGTTAATTCATCTCCTTGTATCAAATATCTTGGATGTTATTTGGACGAAAATTTAACTTTCAAAAAATTTGTCAGTGAAAAATGCAAAACAATTTCATTGAATTTGTACTTGATTAAACAAATTCGCCAATATCTTAGTGATGATTCGTGTAAACAAATTGTACAGTCCCTTGTCACTAGCCATTTAGATTATGCAAATAGTGTCCTGTACGGATTGCCAGAGTGTACCATTAAAAGACTACAGCTGTTGCAAAATCGTGCTGCAAAGCTTGTGTTGAAGCTGAGGTCTACGGATAGTTCTACTGAAGCACTCAAACGACTACACTGGCTACCGGTACACTACCGCATTAAATTCAAACTTGCATGCATTGTCTTCAAGTGCATTAACGACAGTGACAGCCCACAGTATCTTAAAGAAATGCTCAGTTTACGAACATCATCATATAGCATTCGATCCGTAAATTCTGCAGCGAAAACATTGAACGTCCCGTCCGTAAGACGCAAAACTTTTGTGGTCTTTCGCGGTAGCTGGACCTTCGATTTGGAATGATTTGCCAACGAACGTTCGAATGTTAACTGATTTCTGTATTTCTAAACGACATCTCAAGGCGTTTTACTACACATGTGCATTTAAATAACATTTAATTGTGAACACTAGTATATTTTATTTAAACAGCCAGTGATCATTTAGACTTTATTTGATATTTTAACATATGCATTGTTTTTTTTTATTATATGTATGTATTTTATTGTATGTACAGCGCCAATGATTGCATATCGTATGTAAAATTGAGCGCTTTAACAAATTTTTAATAATAAATAATAATAAGTGTAAACTACATGTATAATGTTTGTCTATAGCTTAAAGTCAACTAAAATTTTATTCCACATATCATCATGGTTACTTAACTGTAAAATACAAACAGTTCACTACTTATATGGTTGGACATTAGCAAACCCTAAGCCTGTTTATCTGCTATTTAATCATGACTGTAATATTTTAAAATTTGATTTTTCATGACATAATCTTGTATAGTTTATTTTTGTTTTAGGACTTGTGGTGCGGAAATGCTTAAAGACAGAGAAGTACAATAAATTGAAGCAATGTTAGTAAAATTGTGAAAAAGTATATTTTATTCATTTTCATTTAGCAAATACTAAGATGATACAAGATAGAATAGCATACTTTTTTATCGCCCATTAAAATTATTCTTTCTGAAATTAATACTAATATATTAGACCAAACATCTTTGGCACCAATGAGTATGGCCATAAAATCTTTACAATGAAAACATGGGAAGTTAGGACTTAAGTTTTACAACCTTTTGCAATGGTGGAATCTGTTGAAATCTAATTTGCAAACGCAGAATTCCTGTAATGAATTCCTGTAATTATACCCCCGCTTAAAATGTGGTGAGTATAAAGTGATGGGGGTGTATCCGTAACTTATCACTTACACCACTGAATGCAATTTAATGAAACTTTATTACCTAGTAATATTGTGCATCTCCTTTTTTACGTTTCCATTAGACACATTGTTGGGGGTTCCCACAGCAAAACTATTCTTTCTATAATATTTGGAGTACCCATCTCTTATCCGCCACTCCTCCCTTACCACTGAATTAAATTTAATGAAACTTTTACAATGATCCCTATTACAAAGTACCATTGTTCTACGTCTGCTAGTATTTTATACGTTGTGATTGGACAGATATTTGAGGTTTCCCATAGCAAAACACGGTCTTTGTCATTATGTATGTACTCGATAAAGGAATACTCATTTTGTTGAATAAAATTCAATGCATGGAGCATTCATAGAATCCCGTGTACATACTGCCAAGAAAATTAATGCACTTTGCCATTTTACTAATATGGTATGGGGATATATATCATTTTGTGAGGTCAACTCCTGCAGTACCTTTTAGGAAAAATAAGCAGAATGCCCACACTTTCAAGACAAATTCTATCAATATTAAAATTATTGGCAGTGAACAACTGATTTCAAAATTTGGGTTCATCAACCATATTAAAAAATATCTTTGTTACACCTCGGGAGTTGCTGCTTCCAAAATTAAGTCCAGCATTCATTGAGAAATCAGAACTTGGTTGTGTTGACCAAAACTCTGTAAATTTAATATACTGTGATCATTCTGAAACATCCGCCAAGCATGAGAATTCATTTCATTGCAATATTGCATAAATCTCTAATTAAGTTCGATGAAAAAAAAATATCGCTTGGCTTCACTGTAGGTATTTAAGAAATGAATTTAATTTTTGAGAATTCATGAGGTACATGAACTACGACGCTTCACGCCGGCATATTTCACGAAACGCGTTAGCTAACGCGCTTCATGATAAATATGCCGGCGTGAAGCGTCGTAGTTCATGTACCTCATGAATTCTCAAAAATTAAACTCATATCTTATATTAACGTTATTTTTCTGACGACTTGCCACAAGTTTTTGTCATTCAACGATCATTAAAAAAAAGTTTGCACTATTTTTTGACTTCAATTACCTCACAATGGAAATATTCCTATTCATCCCACAGTAGTTCATGAGAACGTGATTTTTTTCTACTATGCAAAAAAACTTAAGGAAAAATATTTGGAAATGTAAATATTTTAACATTATCATTGCATGATTTTTATAATTCTAGCAGACAAAATTCTTATTCCTTTTATCAGGAAAATCACTTACCAAAAATATATTTAAAAAGTATGACATTAAACTAAAAAAGAAGAAAAAAAAAGACGGTATCTTTTTAAGAAAAAAAATCTTGTTAAAAAAATATTGATACAAGGGGCTTGGTAATAAGACAATTACCAAGTTGGTGCTGCAATTTACTTTTTTAATTATTATTTGAAAATTCGTTATTTAAATTCAACACATTTTTCTAATTATTGTTATCCCCTCCATGCCCGCCATAAATCTTCCTTTTTTGTATTTTTAGATTGTGTCTGGTTGTACTATTTTAAAATTTGTATAGTATTACTAAGGAGTGTTAACTCAACTAACGGCCCTTTGAGAGACAAATACACAACAGTCATAGCTTTCTACTTTATATCATGAAGGTACTAGCATTTATATCTTGTTATTGGTCATCTACAAAATCAATTTGTTAGACACCACCATTCTTCATTTACAATACATGTTGGAATTTCAATGGGTACTAATTGTGCTCCTTTTTAGCCTATCTGTTTTTATATACTTATGAAGCAATCTGTTTTTATATACTTATGAAACAGAATTTATTCAGAAACTTCTATCTGAAAAAAGAAAACTTGCTGTGGCTTTCGATTCAACATTTTGATATATCGACGATTTTTTTTCTCAATTTTTATTGACTGAGTTACTTTCATCCATATACCGACTTAATATATATCCCAGTGAACTATAAATAAAAAAACACCACAGAGACTGATACATCGGTTTTGTACTTGGATGTTTTACTGAGTAGAGACATTAGTGGTCATCTAACAATTAAATTAAACGACTTAGTGGATGACTTCAGGTTTGCCATCAATATTCCTCTATCATCTGCATAATGGTGTTTATGTCTCCCATATGATTTTGTACCTAAAGAGAGCATATTCTGAGCACAATAACTTTATAAACCGAGGAAGGCTACTGAAAAATAAGTCGATGTTGCAAGAGTTTTCTACTATCTCAAAGAGGAATTTAGATTACAGTACCTAAAATACATGTACAGTAAAACTCAGTTATAAGGAACTCATTTATAAGGAAATCTTTGTTATAATAAGGAACTTTTAACAAATCCGGTAAAGGACTTTTCACTGTGTTTCTTACAAGGATATTATGAATCTCGATTATACGGAAGTAAAATTCGAGGTCCAGTGACTTCCTTATAACTGAGTTTTACTGTATAAAATTCCTTTTCCATTTCGAGTCTTTCACCTCATATAAATTACTAATTACATTTTACAAAAAAAAAAACTTTGGTAAAATCAGTCAAGACAAAAATCAGCACAGCTATATGTAGAATATGTACCTTAATGAACTTTATCATTGACTGCGAGTCTATAAAAATTGCTAGCATCCAAGATTCCATTAAATAAAAAAATTGTTATCAACACATACCATTAAAATGTAAATAAAATGTTTGTTTTATTTTCAATGTAAGTTGATAGAAAGTAAAAAAGAACAAGAAATATCACAGACTACATATTATGATCAACAAAGTAATAATGAAAAATGATACAAAGACATCATACAACAACTCATCCAAAAATTGTTATGATACCTCTAAATATTTCTCAGTCAACCCATATATAAACACTGCAATAAAGGGTATTAGTTACATGTATCAACAATACAATTACAAATAAGCAGATTGAAAAATATTCTCAATTAACAATGATATAATATTTATCTGAATTAACAACAAAGTAATCTTAAAATAAGACAAGTGTACGTGGAATCATATTACTGTAACATCAGGCAATCCTTTCTGTTCAATAGCACTGACTGTGTGGTTTTAATCATTACAAAAAATTCTACAAATATTCTACCATGATTATCACAGTTCGACCAAAAATTGAGAAATTTATGAACATTAATATATTTATTATACATTAATAATTTGAAAGTACAATACTGTATATCATATACAGTATTAAAAACATACTAGTACTGTTAGACAACTTTTACACATGTGCGAGAAATATCCGCGGGTTGTACGACCTTTATTTTTTTTTGCTTGCAAATACATGTACTTAAATGGTTGTGGAATTACACAGACTGTTTTCTATGTGGTGAAAATTAGAAGTTGAGGATGGATTTCAAACTGACGAATCACTTGATAAAAAATACAGTGAATTATGTTTGTTGGTTTACAGGATATATCCTTCTCGGGAAGTTTATTACAGTACAGTTTTAAGTATTTGATATTTATGCAAATTAGAGTACTAGAATTCATTTCACAGAAAATGGAAAGAAACGGGTCATCTCATTTCATGAAGAGCTCATTACATATGTATTTTAAAAACTTGAATTTCCCTTTTCCTAAGAGATAAAGTGCTGTAACTGCATGCTTTGAGCTATCTATAAATTTAACAATTTAACATCATTAATGTAAAGATACATTGCTGTTATGTTAATTAACACTCAGTCTGTTACTTTTAAAAAATTATCATTCAATGCTCACATGTACGATACATGTATTTCATTTTTGATAATTGAATGTTATTCTTGGTAATTTTTTTTTAATCATTTCACGTCAGTTTACCATCTAGAAGTAACAGCAGAGCTGAATACTCCTTGCATTGGATTCCAGGTAGGCAAAAGTACATCAAGATTTTTTTTTTTATTTGCAAGGAACTGATGTGATATAGATCTCTAGGTGTATCAACATAAATCCAAAAAACTTACTCATAAAGTACTAATAAAAACGAGCTAGACATGATAATGTTCTAAACATGATGCCTGTAAATCAAACATTTTCTAACAAAAAAAATCCATGTGCCTTTTAAATTGTAAAGAAGGAAATCATACAAACATGTACATAACGACCATTATCTGACTAGATTTGTACATTTGCTTATTTCAAATTTTATCAATAACATTCTACATGTATGTGCATACCTTCTACTGTTCCAAGCTAAACTAAACACATCCATTAATGTAGTCCTATTTTCAGTTTTATTCTAAAATGGATATTGATGAATTCAGATGTGTAAGATGTCTTTGATGATGTCTGCTTGCTTATTGCAATAACGTCACAGTCTGTTTTGACATTAACACTGCTCATCTTTCACCATTTGTGGATGACTATTTTGAACAGGAAGTCTGATACTGCATGAGGTAGTGTCAGTCCATTATTTCTTTTTCTGCAATAGCAAAAACACACCCAAACAGGTAATTATACATCTAAATCATATTATTTGAAGACTATTTTGTCACTTACACCTACAACTTATCCAATACATGCAGATAACAGATAATAATTCTATGTAAGTACTGAAGCAGCAATATTTTCTTGATTCAATTATTTCAAAAAAATGCTACATATATTTAAAAAAATGATTCATTTAATGAAAACAAGTTATGAATAACAACTGATATCCTACATTTCTGGTTCTATTTTGGATAAGCTATAGCCTGACTAATTTAAAAATAAATTGAATTCACAAAATGGGTTTTAGGTATTTTAAGAAAATATCTACATGTATGTCATAAAACATTAAGAATTTAGAAGTACATGGAACAACTCCAACATTCTTGCATTTGAAAGGTTGTTGGGTATGTATTCAGGGCTTTCACACCACTTTTTGGGGCAGGGGCAAGGACCATTAAAATTGGGGAAATAGATCTTCTAGGGAAAATCACTGTACAATAAAATCATTAAATATTGTGTTCTGGTGTTATAATCTAAATTATGTTTTCTGTATAGAATAATATGAATGTCATGTTCAGTTGTAATATACATGTATCTAACTATCTATGTTTAATTTTTAGGGAAAATGAATATTGTGAAAAATAAAACATTCAGTATGGAAAAAAGGTACCATTTTTGAATTGGAAATGGGGCCTTTGAACAGCCCCAAATATAGACAGTCAAGAACCTTAAAATATCAAAAGAATATTGAGTTATAATCTGAATCATGATTATCTTGTGTCCAAAATATATCTATCAAAAAACTACTTCCTTGCCTTTTTACCCCCTTTCTTCTTTTTCTTGAGACCAGAGCCAAGTTTGAGGATGCCATCAAATGTATCCTTCTTTATCCTACTGCCTACCCTCACCTTACACCCTCCAAGTTTTTCTGTAGATTGAAAACATGCAATATCACAACAATAATAAGCAAATTTTAAAAGCACTACATGTAGCTACCATGAAGTAGCATTGATATCATGAGAATTTTACATAAAATTCACATGCAAAATACATGTATAATGAAATTCATTACATTAAATCAAGCTGTAAAATGAAAAAAAAAATACTTATTGACAAGTACTGTACCTCCAAATACTTGTATTTTGCAACTTCATGTACATACCGGTATATTAAACAATTGACCTGTAAAAATGCAGAGTAGTACCTGTTTCTTTTCTATGTTCCAATGATTCCAAAATTTCTTTTGCAGCAATATCACCAATTAAGTTTTTCTCCAGGTCTAATTCCTCAAAGCAGTTAGAGTACATGATCAGCCTTAAAAACAATCAACACAATTTTAATACATTGTCTGTTTTATTTTATTTTCCTTAATCTTGATTTAAAAAATTGATTATGTCACTCCTATTTACTTTGATCTGTTTCCATGAATGAAAAGACGTTTTTTTAATAACTGTAAGAGTCACACATACTTTTTCAGAACTCTCATCATTTGTAAGGGAGCTAACTCTCTTTTGTATGCCAACCCATCAATACCATTGTCTGCCACATGTAGTTTGTGGATCCAAGGACCTACAGCTGGTGGTGGGGGTGGCTCCTTTTTCTTCTTTTTCTTTCCTGTTGTTTGATACAATTAGCATTGGATTATTATAAACAGGAAAATTATTTACACTTAATGGAGGAAAAGTGTTTGCCCCCTTTTTTCTTTATTCAAATTTAATTTTCTTTTTTTTAAGTCTACCGAATGATAGTTTTCCATTCTACAGAAACACCACCGTATCTCTATCTCAGTGGAATTCACAATAAACTTTGAGATAATAAATTCCCGCTGTAGTTGAAACCCTAGAGTTGCTTTGATATACTTGTGTATATCCCTGGTATTTGATATACATGTATTGGTGTTCCAGATACATGTACTAAACCTGACATGTACATGTAATTGGTCCTTCCTGTTGAAAAAATTACCCAACTGAGAAAATGGCCAAACTGCTGGGGATCTGCAGCACAGCAGTAGCAATTAATTTTCTTGTTTTCAGTCAACTATTCCTATTCATTGATGAGTGTAGTAGACACTTTCTGAGATAATCGTTTTGGTGCTTTTGTACTTCTGACTTCTTGAAGACATATTACTTATGAAATGCAGATATCAAAGACAAATCTAGTTTTAGTTAAAAGCTTAAACATATTTACTATACCTTTCTTTTTCTTTTTCTTCTTTCCATCTTTACCATCTTCATCTCCTGATAATCCAGATGACCGGTAACCTTGCTCTCTTTCTGTTTAAATAAGGATATTTGGGTTAACAGATAGAATAGAAACATCAAATGATGGCAACTTGAAAAAGACATTAAATTTTTGCTTAATTATTTTTTTTATTCATACATGTATATGGCATCTTAAATGAACCAATAACTAACAACTTAAATGAACCAATAACTAATGTCTACCTAGTATATAAATGGTGGTGTTTTGTTTTGCTGTTTTTTGTTTTGTTTTTTTTTTTTTGTTTTTTTTTTCAATTATGCAGTGCTGGGGCAGGTTTCAGCCAAACAATTTTTTTTTTAAAAATCCACTTACTTTGCAAAACTGTTTTTATATATCAAATTGTTTGAAGAAATAGCAGAAAAGAATATTTTGGGAAAGAAATTATTGTGGACTAATTTTGTCACATTCATTAAGCAGTTTTAAAAGAACATGCATGCTTGGTTCTACAATTGATCGACTGATATTGTTGCTATTGTAATTATACATTTTTCATGACCTCTTTTTTTCAGTCTGGCAAACAGACTGTGTACCCAGAAATTATGACATATTTATTTTGTCCTCAAAAGACCAGAAAAAAAAATCTTCTTGAAGTTCAATCATCCTCAATATTCTTTTAGGAATATTCATTTGAGGAATTGGGCTAATAAGCAAATTTTAAAAGAAAAATTAAAGCACATGAATCATGTCAGACAGGCCACCTTACACCCATTGGTTATGGCAAAAGAAATCTAATACTGAACTACAGAGATGCAGAGAAATCTATAACTGCTAGAAATCTTTTCCATAAACAGATGGAGAGAGAGAGAAAAAGAAAAAAATAGTATTCTATTTATATCTAAAAATATTTAGGAAATAAAACAGTACCAATAGATAAAAAGAAATTGACCAATTGTTTCATGTACTACAATGATTTTTTGAATGAAACAGTTGAGGGAGAGAGAGGGAGAGAGAGAGATCATCTACATTTGAAAGTTTTTGTTATGAGGCATACTTTGTGGTCTTTTGAAGGGAACATCAAATACATACCAAGTCTTTGCTGAGGAGTAAGCTTACTCTCTGTTTTTATTAATTAACAAACAATTAAAAATGAAGGTAAAAGGTAAACTTAAATATCCAATTTTAAAAGTTGTTAAAATCTTTCTTTTTTAATCTTATCCATTAAAATACACAAAACGTTTTTACTATATATATATATATATATATATATATATATATATATATATATATATATATATATATATATATATATATATATATATATATAAAAATACATGTACCTGTTCATTTGATTAATAAATCATTAAGTCTCTAATCAGGATATTAAATTCTCTTTAGTAAATTTTGCCATCCTTGTGTCAGAAACAATGCAACTATGTATTTAGCCAATCACAGTTCCCGTAACATACCTCGTTCAGCTTTTTCAGCCTCCTCTTGGAGTTTTCTTGCTGCTTCTTCTGCCCTCATTGTGGACTCATAAAAAGCCTGTTCAGCACAGAGATCGATCAAACTGATCACCCCTTTACACTCTAAGTTGTTCCCATCCAAGAACAACTCCCTACAACAGATTTACATGTATATATAAACATATATAAATGTTGTTGTTTTTTTTTTCCTTTATAAAAAAAATTAACTTTTTGTTCTCATCGAAATTCATTTGTTCATGTTAAGTTATTCAAGCAACAATTAAAGTATATGAAGGAGTCCACATTTCAGTTTTTTCCCTTTGGATGCGTGGGGGATGGGGGAAGGGGGAATTAGTTTCAATTATGATAAATTCAAAATTGACAAAACGCAAAATTGACGTTTTTTATGCCTTACTATTACATGTACCTGACTGCTGTTTTCACCAGCATTTTCCCCAGTATGTCTCCACTCTCTACACCCAGATCACAATAACACATGCTAATGGATAGAAGGGTGACATTTCCCTCCATTCCTTTACAAAAGTACCGTGCACCTTCATCTCCGAATCTAGAAAATAATATATAGCATTTATTTCATGTCAAGATTTTATTAGAAGACAAAGTGGTCTACTGAAAACCAATTTTTACTCAAGTGCTAAAAATTTCCACAAGATTTGCGTGTAAGTCAAGCTTTTGGATATTTACATGTATGGTCATTATTTAAAATGAATATTCTTTGTCACAGACCAGTTTTTAATTCAAATTGACTAGTTGTAAATAAAAAAAATTTGCATACAATTGTTTATTTAACAGTAATGTGTTAAAGGGATTATTACAAGATACGTTTTCTGGTTAAAAAATATGGTCACTCAGAACATACTCATTATAATCCAGTGTGACAGAGGTTAGTGTCGAACAGATGTTAAAGGACCTAGAGAAGCGCTGAAGTGAGTAACCCTCCAACAGACAATCAAGAAACTCGACATATCTCAAGGGGTAACAGCCTTTCTCTAACAGCAAGGCCTGCAACGGACAATTTTACACATGTATATATTAAATTACCTGGGTAATGAACAAAAGTGAATTTTATAATATGTGCAAATGCATTACATTAATTACCAGTTTTTTCATTTACAGACAATCTCAAATTTTGAAAATCATTTCAATAAAAATGTTTCCTGATTCTTTAGTAAAAAAAACTTTGTATTTCTAAATACTTTCTTTAAAACCACTTTAAATACAGATGTTTAAATGTGTATCTCACCACTGTTGCCATATTTTCATACGTCATTGGGTAATTCCACAGATACAAATCTTGTATGTGGACATATCGCTCTTGTCTAAAGGCAGCAATCAAAGGCTCCAGTAAAACTGGAAGGTCCCCTTCCTTCTCAATGGGAGCAGGCTCCAAAATAAACTAAATTCATAAAGGGACTGTTAGGGACAAAACTTTTCCAATTTGACAAAATTAATACTTATATATTAATAAATTACAATCTTAAAACAAAATATATTTAGATATGTTATTATATATGTATATTTCAAAGAATTATAACATTAAAAAAAATTAAACAGAAGTGTTTAAAATTCATTTGTATTATTCAAATTTTATAAAAACATACAGTGGAAAGCACAGTTTCATTTTCCTTGCATGCTCTTAAGGCACTTTTAATTCTAGGACTAATCTGTGACTCGGTCAGACCACAGTTTCTCTCGTAACATTTGAGGAAACTCTGGACAATGTCTTCTGCGCCTGCAACAGTCTTCTTGGCTTTCTTCTTTCCTTTCCCCTTTCCTTTCTTTCCACTCTTTTTTGGCATCTCCTAAGTGGATATGATACATAATTTATTTAGCCTTTTTAAAGGTGCTTGGACACAGATTTGAAGTTAGTATTTTCTCAAATTTTCTGTATAATTTCATGACTTATATGTGGCTATAGCATTTCATACTAAAATATAATAAAAATCTTATTTAATCTCGAAGTTATTAAAACTTTGAATTTCTGGATGCGTTGGATTGACACATCCTTGCGCTTTCACATATTTTAATTTTATTCTTAATACTTAAGAAAAGTGGCAATTTTATTGTGTATTAATTTAATGAAAAATATTAAAACTATAACCCAGAAAATTCAGGGTAGAAATGTTCGAAAGCAAAACCCACTCACAGTATTGTAAGTCCGTGCTCAGTGGTGTGTGCAGAGTTTAACAATTGAACACATCCGGTGAATCGTAAACATTAACAATAACAGAGCTTGTGCCCTGTTTACAAAAACAGTTTACGTTTCACGGGTGTGTTCAATTTGTTAACTCTGTACACATCACAGAGCACGGACTGATAATACTGGGGATTTGGTTTTGCTTTCGAACATTTCTACTCTTTATTTTCTGGATTATAGATGTAATATTTTTCATTAATACATAATAAAATCGCTTCTTTTCTTAAATATTAAGGATAAAGTTAAAATTTGTGTAAGTACAAAGGTGTGTTAATCAAACGCGTCAAGGAATTCATAGTTCCAATAATTTCCAGATAAAATACGTTTTTAATTATTTTTTCGTGTGAAATGCTATTGCAATATATAAGTCGTGATATTATGCAGAAAATTTGAGAAAATATTAAGTTCAAATCTGTGTCTAAGCACCTTTAATTCCCTCCTATTTCTTCAAACATTAAAATAACTAATATACAAAAACTGAAACAAAAATTTCAAAGCTTAATAAATAGAGCATTTCTTTGATATTTTTCAAAGGCACAAAGCAATGTGCAGTGATCGAAAATTTTACCTAAACAAATCGAGGAAACTCGAAATTAGATTGCAGGTGACCTACTCACTTAGTATCACAACACCATTTCACATTTTTTTTTCTTAAGTAGTGACATTCTAAACGCGAATAGATAAACAGAAATAAACAAATTTAATCAATTATTTCAATAATTGTTATCCTAGACATTTTTTCATGTTTTTTTAACGATGAAATTTACCTTTGTTGACTGTTGTTACGTTCTTTTGTACCCGAATGCCCAAAGAGTTCCCATATGGAAAGGTAACTCGTACAATACATGTAGTATGCAGCTGTACAAAATTAATTCGATCAGCAATAAACATTTACATTACTGTCTTCATTCTTATCTTCTAAAGATTTTTTCAAAAGTCTTACATCCGATGTTCAAAAACAAGTAATAAATCTGCAAAGAAATTATATAAGTTGAAATCCTAAGAAATCCCCCTTCATCAAGTATATGTAGATAAAAATTTTTATATGACAGTGCATGAAAACATTCAGAAAATGCACGCCGGACTTATGGAAATAATTTTGTTGTTGTTATTGTTTTTTATGAACAGAAGAATAAATAACAGAGCTTCAGAATAACTCTTTTAAATGAATGGACAATGACTTTATATTTCTTTGACTATAATAAATGGGAATCTGTATATTGTACCTATGTATCATAATTTAGATCATTGCACGATCTCGTTGCATTCTTACACGAATATTCAGATACACATAATAAAAGTGGGCAGTTGAAAAAAATCCAATGTGTGAAAGACTGAAATAAACTATAAGAATTAATGTAAAAAAAAACCCACATATCATTTACTTTTTTTTTTAAACACCCACAAGATGTCGGCATTAGCTGTTTGATTCATCTTGTGATGAAGACCTGACAATATCTAAACTCTGAAGTGTGACTCACTGTACAGCTGTAGATATATAGACAGCCACCAAACAGAACAAAGAGGTGCATCCAAAACACCACTTATATCTACACGGAACAAAATCATTCCAAAGGTATGTACTTAATTATCTGATAGTCATCGCAAAAGTTGATACTATATATTCTTTTTAGTTCATATGATGTTCAAAGTATTTAAAATTTGTTTTATGGATTTGAGACAAAAATTGCGCTAAATATGCTGCTGTTAATATTAATACTGGGGGTGTCTTTTTCTGGTTTTAAAAAGGCTTAAGCTAACAGCTACTAGGTGTTCACCCATCATCCGGATATTGCGTTTAAATACAAAAAACAAAAGGCAGAGAAATACACAGCATTTACAATTATAAATTTACGGCATTATGTATACAATGCGCGCAAGTGGTTGCCTCGACGAAACGTACATAAAAACAATATACATGCAACCACTATTTAGATCGCGCGTGTTTTATATTGTATGTAAACATTTGTGCACATGCAATATCTATATAGCTGATCTGCAAACCCTCACATCAAGTATGGGAGATAGTAAATAAGAACGCGCGCTCTATCCGTGAGTTCCATTCATGGCTTAAAATAAATCTAACTTATCATGCTTTATCTAGAAGCCAAAATTACTGTCAAGATCACCAAAACATTATAAGTGGCACAACACAAAAAGTTTCGATGCCCATCATTTTCTACACGGATGTTTACAATCAGACTTCTATCTGTCGACGCCGTATTTCTCGGCCGTTGATGTAGGTTTCCAAAAGTATCCTCTTCTGTAGCTGTATATATTTTGTTAAAACGGTCCCTTTGTTATCTTTCAGATTCTAAATGAATAAGAAAATTGTTAAATAAACTGTCTGAGGAATGTAAAAACAGTCTCGCGAGATGTACTTTATGACTCAGTTCGGTGCATGGGTTATAAGAATTTTATATCTTTTCAGAATACACGGCATGTATTTTGAAATTGCATTTGATATTACATTCTTCGAACTTTAAAAATCATGATATCAGTAAGCCAACCAGATTGCTAAAATATTTTTTCTAATATCTTTTTGGGTGTAGGCAACAGCCAAAATGAGAATGGCATTGCAGAATTGAATATGGGTTTCGAGAATGCACGTGTGTCGACACTTTAGAGAGATCGTGCAGGCATGTAGCAACAGGGTGTGTGTGCAACAAAAGGAGGGAGTGACCAGCCTTTTAATTAACATTTTCAATAGTAAAAAAAAAAAAAAAAGGTTTGGGAAAAAAGGGGGCAGACCCCCTCCCCCTCCCCTCCCGATACTATGGCCCTGCGTACATGTGTATATCTATACTTAAACTGCTCTTAAACTATCCATGGAATTTTGAACAAAGTGGTATGTTTTACTGGTAAAGAGTGGGAGAGATTTTAGAGTTTGGACAATTTTGGGCTTTTTTTCGGCTTGTCAAAGTTTTTCCAAGTGAGTTGATTTTTTTTTTTGTGGCTGCCCTCCCCGGTTCAATAGCGATATACTATGTGCCTGTCATGCAAAATAATGATCGTGGCAATTGTTGACAATTTCATAGCGGTTGTTATATGTACATGTAAAATCGATATACATAAAGAATTAAGATAACAGTTTTGAAGATTGACACTTAATGCTCCTTGTTTATAGCAAAGTATTTTATTATATATCTTCTTTTCTCATCAGATTAAAATAATGGTGTCAGCCAAACCATTCAAAAATCAGAAATACCAAAAGATAAAGAAGGAATGCATCAAGAAGAGGGCGCTGTTCAGGGACAGTGAATTTCCTCCCGAGGGTGCCTCCCTATTTTACAGCAGGGCAGCCCCGGCAGACATTGTCTGGAAACGACCAGGGGTGAATATCAATCAATAATTAGTGAAAGGTGATATGACGAAACTCATAAAAGAAAAAGGTAAAAGTAAAGAATATTGATCGACCTAACAAAATCTACAAACAGCAAAAATTTGTGAACAGGGGGAAAAAGAACCCCGGGAATTCCAGAAATCAACGATTTTATGGATATTCGGTTGAATTTTTTTTCTTTTAGTAAACAGCCAACGGAGTGTAATTTTAGAACTTCCTTTCCAAATACGACTCTAAGATTTTTGCCAATATGTACAGAAATGACGAAAATTAAACGACAGAAATTTGGAAGGGGGGCCCGGGGTGGGGGGTGAATGTATGTTTTACATCGTTATAGGAGGCTACTTCAGCAGTAAAAAAATGTTTTGAGCAGAATTACTAAACAGCAATAAACTCTGGTGAAGTTGTTTTAGATAAAAAAAAAAAAAACAGCAAGACAAAAGAAAACTTTCAATATCATCTATTTCAATTACAAATATTAATATATTTTACAAAAATCAAATTTTAAGATCGGACTCCAAAAATAATCTAAATTCATTAAGTGTCTCTCAGACTCATTTTCCATATTATTTCAGTCCCAAAAACTTTAAAACACGGGTTTTGATGCTTTTTCTTGTCTTGGTTGGAGAGGATTTCTGAAGAAAAGAAAAAAAATGTGTACGCACAAAAAAATATTTGAAACTGTTTAAGAAAAGTCAGTCAAATAAAAGAGACGTTTTAAACAGATTTTAATACTTTTATCAATGTCAAACAAAAAGATACCTTTTCTGAACACGTTCCATGAGCATGGTTATCCTCATAATTTAGTATGCTTGATAAAGGGTTAGGAGTATACTTGGTTTGATTTAGCTTTTCACTCTGAAAGAAAAGGAATATATAGGCATGTTATTGTTAATATCCTATAGGAAAAAATATAAATTTTTGTTTGAATGTCATCTCGCTAAGGGGATGTAAAAAATTAAATAAAATGTTATTTACCTTTGGACTGTCCTTAAAATAGTCTATATTGAAAAGGAAGAGTTTCCTGGGTACAAACAATTCATTGTTATTCTCCTCATTAGCTTCCATTTCTCTCTCCATGCAGGAATTCTTTAATATGAAAATAATTGAAAGTTAATTCTCGAAGAAAAGCCGACAATGTATGAAAATTAATTCAAAAGTTCATTTTAAACTATTCACGCAGCTTACTTTTGATTTCTCTTGTACTTTTTGCTGGATTTGGTGTGATTTCATTTCCGAGCTTGTCTCCTAAAGAAAGTAAATAATTAGCTTTTGATTTAGCAGACAGATAGAAATAAAAAATTGAAATCTTAAAATATTTTAAAGAATAAATACCAAACTTACTCTTGAACTCTGTTCAAGTTGTTTTTGAAGCTTTTCTTTAGCCATTTGAATCACATTATTGATGAACTCCTAAAAAATATTTCAAAAACTGGTAAACGACATTGAAGTCTTTTTCAATTCGTTACGAAAAAAATTTTTATGGATCGCTGGAAATTTTCGAGTTCGTTGCATGGGACGTAGAATATCACATTTACCTAAGTCCAAATTAATAGGGGTTGAAATTTCGCATACATTACCCACAAAAAGCACATAAATGATATTGAACGAAAATTAAAATCTGTGGTTAAATTACTTACACGTGTAAACTCCTTTTGTAGTTCTTCGTTTGCAGCGGTTATTATGTTTTTAACGTATTCCTGGAAAAAGAAAAAAATAATGTCAGATTTATATTGGTTATTATTTCAATATTATTAATATCGAATTCCTTTAACAAATTTATAGAAATATTTTCTATGCAATATTTTGCTTTATTCTAAAGTAAACAGTTAGTAAATCAGCGCATCGAACGTTGAATCTTTCAATGCTAACTTCACATGTATAATAATAATCTCAACCATACCTTACTGAGTCTATCTTTTTTCTTTTCCTCCATTCTCTGGAAAAAAGTATCAATATTAATGTTAATATTTAAGTCAAACATATTAACATTCAAACACAACTAACATCATGTGCGGATCTACAGGGGTGTGTGGGGGGGGGGGAGGGGGGTATCAGGTCAGGTCCCCCTGGAATTTGCAGAGTTATAAAAAGTATACACTGAAGCAAATAAAAAATGACTATGCCCCCCCCCCCCCCGAAAACGTGGACCCCACCACCACCACCACCACCAAATAGGTGTTTTTCACTTTTTTTTGTTTTTGTTTTTTGTTTTTGTTTTTTTTTTTTTTTTCTTATCAAGAAATTTTTGGGATAGAATTTTTTTGACTGGGACGGACCCCCCCCCCCTGGAAAAAAAATCATGGATCCGCGCCTGAACATGTGTATATCACGTGAGAAATAAATCTTATAAAATGTACCTACCACAAGCTCCCTGTGGACTGCTTTCATCATTTCTAGTTTTCTGTATATATCTGCTCGAATATGGTTCATATAATTGGTCCTTTTGGTTACTGTTTCCTATTAATAGGGAAGAAAAAATTGTATACAAGGATTTACAAGAGAAGTAGTATTTTGTTTGAAACATATTTATTAATTGGACTTAAATAATCATAAATTATAAATCTAAAAATATTAAGCTGATAATATCAATGCGTAGACAATTTCTCAATTCGTTATTGATAGATTATCAATCAAGATATCACAATAAGTTGAACACCAAATCGTTTTGACATTTTTGAAATATCTATAAGCATGGATTAGTACATCTTCAGGAAAAAAAAAATCTGAATCCATCATGTCATTTTAATCAACAGCTATAATTGGAAAGTTGTTTTACTCACCATACATTCCTGAAGAACTTTCGTTATAACAGCACGAGCAATTTTCTTTCTTTGACATTCGATCTGAAAATATACACAAAAATAAAATAAATAAAAGATAAGTCTTTTCGACAAAAGAATTTGTTAATATGAAAATGAAAGTATTTAAAGTACCCAATGAAGTCATATCGATAATTAAATGACATTAATTGGCGAGTACTTCATACCTTAAGTTCTTCATGAACAACCTCCATTAGTTCCCTTTTTCGCATCATGTCGGCCTGTATTTTCTCCATCTTGCTTAACTTTCTGGCTATAGTGTCCTAGAATTAGAATACATTGGCTACATTTAAGATAACTTGATTCTAACTCGCTGTTTATTAAATCAAGATTAAATGGTGAGTACTACGTACCTTAAGTTCTCTGTGTACAGCATCCATTAGCTCCCTTTTATGAATCAATTCGGCCTGTATTTTCTCCGTCTCGCTTAACTTTCTAGCTGTAGTGTCCTAGAATACGTTGACATTGACTACATTAAGACAAATTGATTAAAATTCACCGCTCATTGAATCAAGATTAAATGGTGAGTACTACGTACCTGAAGTTCTCTGTGCACAGCATCCATTAGCTCCCTTTTTCGCATCATGTAGGCTTGTATTTTCTCCATCTTGCTTAAATTTCTAGCTGTAGTGTCCTAGAATACGTATACATTGGCTACATTTAAGATAACTTGATTCTAACTCACTGTTTATTAAACCAAGATTAAATGGTGAGTACTACGTACCTTAAGTTCTCTGTGCACAACATCCATTAGCTCCCTTTTTCGAATCATGTCGGCTTGTATTTTCTCCATCTCGCTGAACTTTCTAGCTGTAGTGTCCTAGAATACGTATACATTGGCTACATTTAAGATAACCTGATTAAAATTCACCAATCATTAAATCAACATTAATTGGTAAGTACTACGTACTTTAAGCTCTCTGTGTACAGCCTCCATTTGATCTTTCTTCCTCATCATGTCGGACCATATTTTTTGCATCTCGTTTTTCTTTCTGGTTATGGTGTCCTAGGATAAGTAAACATTCAGTACATTTTAAATTCATGCTTCTAATTCATTGTTCATAAAATGTACAATGTCATGAATCAGTGAATACCACATACCATCAGCTCTCTGTGGATATCCTGCATTAACTCCCTTTTTCGCATCATGTCTGCCTGTATTTTCTCCATTTCGCTTGACTTTCTGGCTGTAGTGTCCTACAATAAGTATACATTGGTTACATATTGGTTACATTTTAGAAAATATGCTTCTTATCAACTGTTCCTAAAATTTACATTAATAAGCGATTACTATACGTACCTTTAGCTCTCTGTGGATAGCCTCCATTTTATCTGTCTTCCTTGCCATGTCGGACCGTATTTTGCGCATCTCCTTTGACTTTCTGTTTATAATGTCCTGTGAAAAGAATATAAGTGAATAAGTAAATCATAATTCTGCATATCTTGCTTATAATTAACTACAATTATGAACAACTGATAATTAAGTTGACTCAACGATTGGTTTGGCGAATTAAACTGGAATGGGGGTGGATGGGGGTCCTTTATATCTCACTGCATCCTTTTCATATTTTTGATATTTATAAATTATACATAAAACTCTTAGACTTTATTCGATTCATTTATTTCACCCAGGGTTGTGGTATTAGATAATTCCAATTTTACTTACAGTCATTTCTTGGTGAACTTTCTTCATAAGGGCTTTCACAATCTTCTTTCTTTCTCTGTCTTCTAACTCCATTGCCTTTCACAAATAAAAATTAAATACAAAAATTAACAAGGATTCAAGGAGCATTGATGCACATTAACAGCGCGTATCAATTTATTTATATTTCATAACAACAATATATCATAAACAGTAAAGGCCACATAATGGTAAGAAATTATCACCAATAGATAAATTAATTACCTCCAATCTCTCTTGCCTCTCTACCTCCTCCGCCCAGTTATAACTAAACTTTAATATCTCCAGTTTGGTCTCCTGAATTTAAGACAATTAATGACATTAGATAATTTAAGCACAAAACACTTTCAACTTTTTTAGTTATTCACAAAATTGAAAAAATGAAGAATAAAAAATTAGATAAATGACCAAAAAGTTCCAGCACTCACTGTCTGTATGCATATCAGTATCGAACGTAAACTAAAGCTTTGGTATGTAGTTACGCTTACCCCTTTGTCACTGAAATCCAGTATTTCACTGTAGTCCATCATAAATGCTTCTAAATTCTACAAAAGAAATAGTAAACATAGTGTTCACTGAGTTTTTATAACTGTAACTCAGAACTTTAATTCGTGAATTAACCAAATTAAGTAAATAGCACATAGCTGCAATTCACATACTGACCTGCTTTCTGCTTAGTTCCTTTGTTTATGGTGATAATTGTGACGTCAACTAAGCGTCAGATAGCTATGACGTCACAATCACAAAAGAGCAGACAACTTTCACTCATGCCAATTTTTCGGCCCGTAACATAAAAGTCCGCATGAAACAGGCCTTGTTAACGTGCAAGTATGTCCTGTCTCGTAACAAAATTTCTAGATAAAAAAAGCTATGTATTCAGTGAGCCAATTATGAGCGACTGATTTTTTCTTGTAACTATACAGGCAGTTTTTGTATAATGTTCAGTAGTATGAATTTTAGGTAATTGTACATCGCATAAAATCTACCACTTCATCAAGTGTCAAGTCTCCATGCTGGTTTTAAATCAATTAAAAGTATTTTAAAAATAATGAATAAGGTTATAGACAAATGTTTATTTTCGATTTTTCAAATGCAAGACATCAATATACTAACCAACTTCGCGATATTTTGGATTTTGATGACTATTAACGATTATAAACGTGTATAGAAATGTAAAGAAAATTATTCTTTTATGGAAGTTTATTTGATTTATTAGTATTCGTCATTCCAGGAAATCGTCTCCGATCCCAGGTTTTTCACTGAGGGCAGTAGTGCAGACGATTTTTCCCAAGGTTCCCTTGGTAACTGCTGGTTTGTGGCAGCCTGTGCATGCATTGCAGAACGGAAAAACCTTCTGAGAAAGGTACAAGTATATACAGTATAGGGCTGTGTATTGAGCAAAATATTTCGATACGATACGATATTTTATGAAGCGATATGCAATATATTGGATTCTTTAACAAGTCTATCAAAAAAGTCTTTTATATCATTTAATCCATAGATTTGATAAAAACTGGGTGTTTTATTACCAAATTGGAAGTTCATGTCTCACTGTCTTTACAAAGTACACTTCAAATTCAAACTTTTAATGACTGTAAAACTAACATGTTAAAATATAGTTGTCTATGTATTTTGTAATAGTTATATAAGATGTACTATCTCCTTAATGTTTATTTCACTATTGATCATTTTGAATTAAAAACAGTTAAGATAACCTTTGGTGACTGAAATTCCCAACTTTTTCACATAATTAAAAGAAAAACTGCCTGCCCGATACGTATTGGAAGTTATTTTTCGATACGATACATTCCTGAATATTCGATACGTATTGATTAATCAATATATTGACACAGCCCTAATACAGTATAACCTTAACGACTAGATGTTAAAAACCAGAATTCCTTGACCAAAGCAAATGGTTCAAATCACTATCAACCATCTGCTTATGCATTCTCAACTTGTTTGACCAGCTCGCGTATGTCAAAGGGCGTTTGCTTTGATCCTTCATAGTTAAATTGTCCTTTAAGGTAAATATTTACACGTAGGTCGAATCGAACTATTAGTTTTATTTGAAATAATCCTTGGAATGTTTTTACTTTATGGCAAAAATCTTGTCGCGAGCCCATTGCAGAGTTGTCTGAGAGAGGAACAAAGAACAACTCGGCAAGGGAGATTCAAGGCTGTTAACTTCTGTAGAGAGGTCGGAAGCGGGGAGGGGGGTAGACATAATATAGGCATTGAAAATTGGGGCTTATAGCCCTCCAAACAGGTTTTTTTTATGTTTAGCCCACCCCTTCCAAATCTCCCCCCCCCCCCCATATGTTCTGAAATATATTGCCATACATGTTTGTATGGAAAATAAGAATCTATCTGACTTAACATCTTATTACAACATTTTTTCAGATAGTTCCCGATATTGAACAACAGGATTGGGGTAAAGGCCGAAAGTACGCTGGAATATTCCATTTTAAGTTCTGGCAGTGTGGGGAATGGGTCGATGTCGTCATAGACGATTATCTTCCCACACGTCAAGGGAGATTAATCTACATGCATTCTAAATCCAGGAATGAGTTTTGGTCAGCTCTGCTCGAGAAAGCATATGCCAAGTGAGTGACAAAAACAATATTTGATAAGCATCTTTACGACATTAATGCAACACATAAATTGCCATCTACAGTTGCAAGTACATGTATTGTGACGCACAATATCTGTGATATGATTGAAATAGATTCTAACTTTCCCAAACGTTTTTAGATTATTCGGGGATTACGAGTCGCTGGTTGCTGGGAAGGCTAAGGACGCCATGGTTGACATGACAGGGGGCGTGGCCGAGGGCATAGAAATCAAAGACTATAATTCTACAGAGGAGAGGAAAAAGCTGTTTAAGATTCTGCGAAAATCAAAAGAAGACAAGTCCTTAATGAGCACGTCTATTGCAGTATGCATCTGCAGCATTTTATTTTTTGAAAACTCGTTTGCATATCTTAAACTTTAAAAACCGAACGCAATAACTAGTTCTATCTACTCTTTATTCATCCCATTTTATACATTACTTTTCCCTTCTACATTATACTAGACGGTACTCTAAAATATAAAGATTTGTATATTTTTAGGCGACAAGAGCAGAGATGGAGGAAACGCTTGCCTGTGGTCTAGTAAAGGGCCACGCCTACAGCATAACTGACGTAAGAAAAATAAAGCTTGGAACAGGACTGAAGTCCATTTTCAGCAGAGAAAAAATCCATATGATTCGATGCCGCAATCCATGGGGTGGTACCGAATGGAAAGGGGCGTGGAGCGATGGGTTGGTACTTTAAAGGAACTCTACGGGAAAAGAAGTTAAGCCTCAAAATGACAAAAATGTTCTTAAATAGTAGCGAATTAAATGGAGAGTATTTTAAAAGACGCTTTCCTGTGAAAATTAATGAAATATCAATATCTTGTAATATTGTATAGCTTTTCATCTCTAGGTCCCCGGAGTGGAAGAAAGTGAGTGAAAGTGAGAAAAAAGAACTTGGATTAACATTTGACGAAAATGGCGAATTTTGGTAAATAAGCGTGTGATTCATGTTGGATACGGAAACAGATTGTAAAAAAATATATTTCGAAAGAATAGCGATACTTTTTCTGTCTTGAAGGATGTCATTTGAGGATTTCTGCCAATATTTCACCAGCATCGACATATGCCACATCATCAATACGTCCCTATTTTCGCTGTCCAAGACTTGGAAGGAGGGCAAAGCGGAAGGACAGTGGAAGAGGAATCGATGTGGAGGCTGTGGTAACAACGGGACGTTTCTAGAAAATCCACAAGTGAGTAGTTTTTATGTCTACGTTATAAGATCAGTTTTGATGATTTGTTCATTAAATTTGAAAAAAAATATCAAGATTCCTTCTAATGATTTTCATTACTTCTTTAGCTTTTGGAAGACCTTTATTAAGTTTACTACTTAGAGTTACAATACAGAGATTTTCTTAATTAAATAAATCACAATCAGGTAAAATTGAAAATTGTCCAAATGCAATTGATCTTTTTTTATCTTGTTCTTTCAATGTTTTAGTATATGTTTGAGATAAATGATGCAGACGAAGAACTTCTGGTATCTTTGGAACAATACGACAGACGAAGAGAGAAAGATCAGGGAAAGTCCAACTACACAATTGGCATTACTATTATGAAAGTACGATTTTATTCGTTATACAGGACAAAATATTTTCTCTTTCAAAACTATAAATTTTTATGTTATTATACATGTAGAAAGGAAATACTTACATTTGTAACTGATTCCTTTTTTTCATCAGGCAGATCTAAACCGGAAGTACAGAATGCATGACAGATTAGAGAGGGTACATTCCGGACCATTTTCCAACGCCAGGAACGTGTTCGCTCGTGTTACTCTGCATCCCGGACGTTACGTCATCATTCCATCAACCTTTGATCCGGGGTGTCATGGCAAATACATTTTAAGGATGTATTGCAATTGTAATATAAATCTTAGGTAATATCTCGATTTTGCTTCTGAAGCATATAAAATCAGTCTTCCATTTGATTCTTACCAAAATTCGGTCGTCAATGAGAATGATGCTTGGTCGCGTTATTTTATTTTAAGAAAAATATCTTAACCTAAATTTGGATTTGTTTTTTATCAGAGAGCTATGGCTGGATGAGCCACCTCCCCCAACTTTGTGCGGAATTGAAACCAATCTAAAGAAGAGGAAAACATGCGCAACACAGGTTACTATGGTGAAGGGGGAAGGATTTCCGGGAAACGAAAACAAAGGATGTGGGTTATCATTTTGGACAAACGGCTTACTACTTTTTAGCCTCTATTCTGCTTACCTTTTTTTATACCTCCTTTTTGTTTTACAGGTAACCTTTATTGTAAAATCATGTGCGAGGGTAAAGTATTTAAGACAAGAGTATGCAAGGGCTCTTTAAAACCAGAATGGAATGACAGAGTAACATTTTATAGGAAAAAGCCAGAGGAGGACGTTGTAATTGAGGTACGTGTAACTAATTTGTATTTAAATAATTGGTTTCTTTTATTTAAAAAAAAATAACTCAAATAACTTACAATTATTCACTTTTTTTAGATTATCCTAAATTTTTATGACATTTCAAAACATTTTGAGAATTTATTGTAAGGTATGGGACAGCAGCATTATAAAGGACGAATTTCTGGGCGAGTGCGTGATTCCGATGTCCGAGAGCGCCACCTATCGGGGAGGGAACACCATTAGACGGTATGATCTGAATTCCCGACAGAATGGTAACGGAACAGAGAAAAAGGCAGGGTACATTTGGCTCAAGATTCTTCACACGAACGAAATGGACAGGGTTTGAAAAAAAAATATTGTCGTTGATATGTGAAAATTTGATCGAATTCCAGGAAATTTTCAATCAAAGAAGATGGGTAAACAAGCCGCGCAAAATGCCTCTAGCTTCAAATGTGTAAAAACATGAACTCAATTTGAGAATTAAGTATTAAGAGGAAAGTTATTATTATTGAATGGTGTGGTTTTTTGAAAAACAAAACTTTCTGCGGAAAAATTCTCTCTACGAAAATTATTCTACGGTTAAAAAATCTTGGGATTGGAACCCCTGAGTTTGTTTATCTCTGAGAGTGACATGTTACCCATTTCACTGCACAGGTCAGTATATGTCGGTATGTAAATCTTCAAGTTGTTTGTGATACATGTATAACCATTGAATAACTGGACTTCAAATATTTCTCTGATAGATACAAATTTTGTGTTCATAAAAGCTTATTTAAAAGCTAGAGTGGGTTCTTGTACTATGTTTTTGTTATGCAAAAAATATTTCTAAACAAACTTTGAAGACACTCTTTTACTTCAAAAAAAGGAACGAAGACCCACTCATATAGAGAAGCTGAGTTATAGAATGGAGAAATGATTATTGTAAAGCCCTCTTTGGTATCTGCTATAATTTTATAAACGAATAATTTTAACATCGGTGAACCTGATGTTAATTGCGGAGACTTAACATGAAATACTAAGTATACATTAATACAATATACATTATACACGTGTACAATGTTAGATGAAATATCAAAGAGAATTGTGTTATATTTCACTTTCTTATTTGTCGAAACATTGGCATTTTTCTCGACTTATTCCCTCGTCTAATTAGTAAATAGAATAAACTGATGGTACAACTTCCGTTCTCTTTAGACTCGAGTGCTTGAACAAATTTTTAAAGTATACGTGATTTGGAAGAGTAACAATTAATTTAGAATAAGACTACAGGTTATAAATTATGATTTTTCTTCGTTATCTTTTTAGAGTCTTGTTCTTTTACATTGGGCTGTTCATATACGACGTGCAAACCATGGAATGTGTTAATTTTTTTTTATTTTTTAAAAACTTTTTGTCATTTTTGATATGAAATAGAATTTCATTACGTTATCCGAGAACTTCTTTTCAATTTTTTTTTATATAATATTGGTATTATTGTATTTAAATATTCTATAAGTTAAGTTTATGTTCTTGAAAATGAAACCTTCAATGGAACCTGTATGCTAGAAGATCTGTTATACGTTTATGCAAACTTTTTGTGGTTAACAAACAAACATTAAATTTCATTTGAGAAAAACTATAATTATTTACTTCTTGTAAAATAGCTGTATATTCGCTTATTCATTATTATATAGTTCTCTACGTTGTTTATATACGTTATATGTTGTACTTTATTTATTTTTCATGTTGTATTATATATATATACTCTTCATGTTGTGTGCTATATACAATAATTATATTGCTTTTTTTATATTTCTAATAAAAAAGATCTCGAAAAATATGCTATACTATAGATTTATTTGTATCAAAGACAACGGGGTTTTACTTGACAATATACGGATATTAGTTAAATCGGTGTAGATTGTTTCTGAAATAAATTAAATCCCACTAGTTTTAATTGAAAAACTGGTATTTAGAAATAAACGATCAATATAAGTTGCGCAATTCGCCCCGTTATACCCGGCTGCGTTCACGTATCAATAAACAGATTGTTTAAATGGCTTCTGATAGCAGCGTCTGCTTAGCGACATGTAAACAACTGCTGTTCAAGTATGTAGGATTTATGATTTTATAATAGTCAAGGATTTTTTTTAAGAACACTATCTGATGCGGAATCATCATTTCAGGTAAAAATAAAGTATTATACTTAAATAATATATCATTGCGTTTGCATTTCTACCATAAAACAGCTGTAAAACATGAATTCTAACATTAATGTTCCAGAATGATGACAGTCTATCGATTTAGATAAGTTGCCACCATAGATAATATATAATGCACAACTCTGTTTTGTTTATTATTATGTATAATTAACAATCAATTTTCATAACTGTTTTAAGCATAGATTTCAAAACTCGATTTAAAGCACCCCATCTTCTGGTGTACCTATCATGCTTTCATTTTCGATATTTTCAGTAACATTCCAGACCGATTACAGATACAATGGTTCTAGGACTGTTTGATTCTGCTATTCCCTTCAAGGGACAGGTGTACAGTAAACTGAAGTCCCAGTGTGTGAGTTCTGGGACGCTGTTTCAAGATCCGGAATTCCCCCCAGATTCTTCGTCTTTGTTTTATACTAAATCTGCGCCGTCTAACATTGTATGGAAAAGACCCGGAGTAAGAAAATTAATGTTTAGCGCTATATATGACCCCAGTGTTGATTAAATAAATAATTAATTAAATAAATATTCTCTGCATAAATTGTATGTGTTCTCCATATGTTTTATTCCCCCAGACAATAATATTTTAATGTGGAACATATTTATTTTTTTGTAAAGATCAACTCGTATACTATAAATTCCACGGATATAGAAGCAATCAGCAAATATTCAAATATTTTTACATCAATTGCAAATGTCCCTAACTCTATCAAATCCTAAGGAGCTAACTGAAGATTAATGAATTTTATCTCATTAGGGCATAATTGAAGAGTAATTAACTTCATCTCTGTTGGAGATGATTGGAGAGTTATTAATTTTATCACATCAGGAGATTACTGCAGCTGGAGAGTCATTAATTTTACCTCATTAGGAGATTACTAGAAAGTAATTAATTTTACCTCATTAGGAGATTACTGGAGAGTAATTACCGTTTTTCATTAGAAGATTACTAGAGAGTAATTACCTGTTTTCTTATTAGGAGATTACTGGAGAGTAATTAACTTTATCTCATAAGGAGATTACTGGAGAGTAATTACCTGTTTTCTTATTAGGAGATTACTGGAGAGTAATTACCTGTTTTCTTATTAGGAGATTACTGGAGATCCTAAATTCTTCGTTGATGGTGCCAGTACTGATGACTTTCACCAAGGTTCACTTGGAAACTGTTGGTTTGTAGCGGCAGCAGCATGTATAGCAGAGAAACCAAAACTCCTCAAACAGGTACGACCAAAAATAATGTTCTTTATAATATTCAGCTCAATAAATGGTGAATTTGTATTGTTCGTGTGTATATTAAGAAGACCATGATTGATTATAGATTGTCCCGGACATTGAAAAACAGGAATGGCTTCCGGAGAATAAAAACAAATATGCAGGAATATTTCACTTCCGGTTCTGGGTTTTAGGAGAATGGACGGACGTCGTTGTTGACGATTACTTACCAACTCAAAATGGAAACCTTATTTACATCCACTCTAATACCCGGAACGAATTTTGGTCCGCTTTGTTGGAGAAAGCATACGCAAAGTGAGTCATAGAAATGTCAATTAATAAAACAATTTCACTGATAGTATGGAATTTCAATGGACGGTGACATACTAATTACACCTGCATGACACCGAACTGGAAAACAATGTATGCTGTATATTTTGTATCAGAGCTAGATTTGTTATGCAAGTACGAAAAGAAGTTATAGTAAATTTCACTAAGTTTAATCGATGGATAAAACGCATTCGTCTATCAATTGGATATGCTTACATAATTTCCCTGTTTTCGGAAACACGGAAAATTCCACGCTGTCAGTGGAAATTTTACAAATGAACTAAGGACTAAGACCAATAATTTTAGCTGTTCCTAACATCTTGCCTACCTACCGTTTTTCAATAAATTTGCTCTCTGCAAATATCTTTTGAAATTCGTAAAAACAATTATAGGCATATCTTTTTTTTTTTCAAATTGATCTAAAGAAGAAAATCATTCGCGTAAAACATAGTACTGTTCTTTTATAAAATTTCATTCCAAAAGTCTTTGCAACGGACGTCTTACTTCTTTTCACTGTAGGATTTATGGTAGTTACGAAGTGTTGGAAGGAGGTCATGCTAAGGATGCTCTGGTCGACATGACAGGAGGGGTAGGGGAGGACATAACCGTGTCAAACTACACAGAGTCAGAGGAAAAGAAACAAAAATTATTCAATATACTCAGCTCAGCCATTTCTAATCGTTCTCTGATTAGTGCTTCAATCAATGTAAGTTTTAATATTGACGAGAAAAGGTAAATTATGCTGATACATGTACATAGCCTAACCATCCACTTAGAAGTGTGTTAAACGCTTTCCTTTTAAAGTCATACATATTCTTTTAAATTTATTTCCTTTAGGCAAAAGACGGTGAAATGGAGGATAAGACCAAAACAGGCCTGGTGAAGGGTCACGCCTACAGTGTCACAGACGTAAGGAAAATAAAACTAGGTCAAGGTCTTCTGGCTTTTTTTAAAAGAGAGTCTATGGAGATGGTTCGATGTCGCAATCCCTGGGGTGGCACAGAATGGACTGGGGCCTGGAGTGATGGGTAAGGATTCACAAAGCATATGTATACCTCCCTGTCAAGTTGAACGACGGGGCAACTGCTTCGAATGCAATTTGGGAGGATGTAATAGTGGATGGGAGAAGAGAGAAAGAGGAAGAGGAATTTGATGTTGGGGAAGGAGAAAGGAGATGGGGGAGTTGATCTTAGAAAGACATAATATTATAGGGAGCGATCATTTAATAAGATGGTAGTAGTGCGACAAAAACTCTGAAATTTAATTTTTTGCCCAAAAATTTGTTTTGCAATTGGACATCTTCACATCGTCAGGGGTCCCACGTCTATTCGTGGCCCTGACGTTGTGAAGGTGTTGAAATGGGAAAAAAGACTAAGACATATAGTAGATTTTGGATTGTCAATAAATTATTGTAAACCTAAAATATGCAATAACGCCGATGAATCAGAACTTTCAAGTTTCAAATACTCAGAAAAAAATGTTTTAAAGTTTGAATTTTGAATAAGCCAAATTAAGTTCCCGGAAAAAATAAAACATTTAGTAAATATTATCAGTCTACTTAGAAAAATGGAAAACAGTATCACTTTAATCACAACAGTATGATTTTTGTTTAAAATTGTATCTTGGTGTTTGGTATTCAACTAAAAATTCAGTGAATTGTGTTGAATGTGTTAGATGAAGACAACAACAAAATCTCTATCTGTCATTACTAACGATTTTTGTCTGTATCGAAAGAAAAATGTATATCATGTTAATGTGTATGCATAGGAACTGTACTGTCATTTTAAATCGGGGTAGGTTTTTTTTAATGAATTGCTACATGTACATGTACTTGTAGGTCCGAAGAGTGGGCTAAAGTCAGCGATAGCGAGAAAAAGGAACTAGGAATCACCATAGAAGATAATGGAGAATTTTGGTAAAAATAATTTGAATCATCTTTTCCAAAATCTTACGCACAATGCAGAAATATGTATAAAAAATATTGAGTAGAGTTTGCAAGAAGATCAGCTACTATATGATTATACGCATACTGCAATACAAAAGTTCGTGTTTTTAAATTTTGAAAATGTAGAAATATCCACATATTTCCGATTTCACTTTTGAAATACAATTTCCATTTTATGTACTCACATTCCATCGAAAATCTTTCGCTTATTTTTCTGTTTAGTTGCTGCATAGATATAGGGATTCAATATTTTTTTAGGATGTCATTTGAGGATTTCTGTAAGAACTTCACAAGTATTGACCTTTGCCACCTAATCAATACCTCATTTTTCTCCCTGTCTAAGACGTGGCACGAAGGTGTAGGAAAAGGCGAATGGACAGATAGTAGATGTGGGGGATCGTTTGGAAACGAAGATTACCTAAAAAATCCACAGGTAACAAAATTTATTTATAGCATCCAAGGTTTTATATCTGCATACAGTTAAACATTTATATCACGAATACCATGGATATGTCGAAATGAGTTTGAACTCTCAACCCGTTTTTTCTATATGCATTATAACTTCAATGTCGAATCCTCGGAATCTCGAATTGGTTCGACCCCGTTTGACTTCAAAATAGATTGACTTTACTTCTTATATATATATTCTGGGATTCAAGCAATGTTGAAGACAATCTTTTCAAATTACTTAGTTTATTTTATTTATTTTTCCAGTATGTTTTTGACGTAAATGATAAAGAGGACGAGGTTTTGGTCTCTTTACAACAAGCAGACACACGGGCATTTAAGGGCGAGGAAGGAAAAGAAATGTACGGAATTGGTTTCTTCATTACTAAGGTAACTATGGAAAAAAATTCAGAAACATAAAACATACTTTTGTTTTAAGGTAGTCAGATCCTCAGGTTCTGAAAATCAGCTTTTAAGTAATTGAAAATGCTCACAGAAATGTCTCTGATTTCACATAGTAACGTGAATTGACCCATGGAATTTCTTCAAAGTCCACCATTGTAGTTAATCATATTATGTAGGGAAAATTATCAAATCTCAAATATATTTTAAGGAAATGCGAATAAAAACACCAGTTATGCATTTTCTAATTGAAAATTGATGAACAAATATAATTTAGGATAGAAAAATATAGGTATCCAGGCATTTGGAGAAAATTGGATCTTTTTATGCTTGTATAGTATTTTAGTTCTTCTTTTTACTTCAATTGACAAATAATACATAGTGTAAAAAGCTTGTGCTATCATTGCTAAACATCACATATCACATCTAAGTTCTTATCATGCTAATAAGCAATGGTATCTAGTGCTAGACTAAAGGAAATTCGATTTCTCTAAAAATGAATTCAATTTTTTTTCTTTTATGGGTTACAAATGTCATCTTTTTACAAGACTGTTTCTAAGACTTCAAAGAACCTTGAATCATAATAAGATGCATAAAATGAAAATTGTTGCATGAAAAAATCTCAATTTCATGCTTCAATTTGAAACTTTTTAAATAAAATAGTAAATTTAAGAGTTATCTTTCCTGACTGAGGATCGGATATCCTTAAGTGACTTTCCATGATTATAACCCTTTTACCATGCAATAGGCTGAGCCTTGGTGCAGGATCCCTTAGTGTTGAAGCACATGTGTACAAGTTGCCCCTCTTTCCTGGTTTGGAAAACGGCTAATACACTGTGCAATCGGAAGAACAACCTCAATGGTATTACATACATGAAGGCGTCCATTACAACTCATTGAAAAATGTAAAGAATTTTCTTATCTGTAAATTCTGGGACTAAACTTTGTTGAAAGCAACAATATAATAATAGCATAATACAGACGAGAAACCAACTCTTCCTTGTCAGATGCTTAAATGATGGGAAACGGCTCAACTTGGTACAAAAGTTTAACAATTGGCGATGTTAATGTATTCAGAGTGTTTTCCGAACTTTGCGGGAAAAGTCCAAGAAGTTTAACACGTTATTGTATAATTGAAACTGAAATTTTATCTGCAAGGATATCTTAAGCATCGTATTTTAATAAAGAAGTTTTATTTTGTTTTGATTTTTCATCATTTATTTAACACATTGCATTTAAAGAATAGAAATTAATCAATTCAATATAAAATAGATATTATAAGAAACTCGTGATATTTGAATCATTCTTTATCATTTAACCCATTGATTTTGAAATATTTACTTCAGACTGATTTAAATCGTGAGTATAGAATGCACGATAAGCTGGAGACGGCCCATTGTTCAGGATATGCCGTTAGCAGAGATGTTATGGAACGCGCCACCCTCAAGCGAGGGCGATATGTGATATTTCCTACAACACATAAGCCGGACCAGAAAACGAAATATATTTTACGAATGTACTTCAGCTCCTCCCCCGACTTCAAGTGAGTATTTGAAGTTAAGGTGCATCGTCCCTCAATTTGAAATTAAGGTTCATCGTCCCACAATTTGAAGTTAAGGTTCATCGTCCCTCCATCGAAGTTAAGGGGGCTGACTGGGATTTGCATTACATGTACTTTGCACAGTGCAGTGAAAAAGAAGTGTATTTATTATCATTTTTTAAAGCAGTTACTTTATCACGATTTATCAAATAAAGAAATCAGAGATTAAAAAAATTGTTTTCATTTTTAAAACTGATTCTTTTTCCAAACGATTTTTCAACTGATAGGTAATTATTGTGAGTTTGTGACATTATAAAAAAAACAGAGGTTCTTTAAGAGGGGGTCATAAAAAGTGTTATAAAAGAAATAGTGTAAAATACTATTTAGGGTCGGGTAAAAAGACAATTTTCAAATTCCCCCCTCCCCCCCAGGGTATGCTCTGAAATTGTATCTATTTTTATTTTAATTAGATTTCTTTAAGAAATTCGTAAGTTTCAAAGCGAAATTTTATATGATTGAACAGAGGGGCGATCAACCTTAATTAGAAATTTTATAAAGCAATAATAGTCATCAATCCTAGTGAAATAGTTGTTACATTGTAGTTCTTGGTTACTTGAAGGTCAATGAACCTTAAAACAGAAATTATAAAATATTTGTAGTCTTGATTAGATTATCCTTTGGATTTATCTCGAAGAAAACGTTTATTCGTATATATATAATTATTTTGAAATATTTAATATCTTGTCACAGTTAGTTATGAAATTATATAAATTATATACAATCATGTACATGTGTGTATGTGTGAGTGTGACTTGGTATTATATGTAAGTGGAAAATGACGCCAAGACGAAGCAAGAAAAAAAAACATCATGAAAAAAAAACTTATTATAACGCACATATTTTTAAGGGAGTTGTGTTTTGACGAGCCACAGCCTCCTCAGTGTTGTTCATTCTTGTGTAAACCTCCAACAGCTGCGACACAAATCACGATAAACAGTGCCGACAATCTAGAGAGTACTGCGCCCCTCCTAGGTATAGCCAATTCAAAGAAAATTGAAACTTCTAGATCTAGAATATTAAACAAATCAATGAAAGTGTTTTTCATGTTAAAAAATGGAAAATTAAAAAAAATCCTCTACTGAAAATGTAATATTTATGTTATCACATAACAGTATATTTACATTTTTTTAAATCCCCGTACAGACCCAGATCCCTATTGTGAGATTTTCTGTGAGGGGAACAAAGTAAAAACCAGTGTCTGTAAAAGTACCAAAAACCCGAACTGGAACGAAAGAATTACCTTTTACCAAAAAAAAGACGGGGATATCAAAATAGAGGTACGTTTTTGCTATAAATATAAAAAAAAATGTCTCTGTAATTTTGGTGATTATAAAGCAATATGTCGTTTAAATTATAAAAATTTAGCAGTACATTACTACAATTCATTTATACCATTGATATACCAAACTAGTTAAGTTGGTATTTTCCCTCAAAAATGAGTGGATTTAATTCATGGGATGAAATGAACATCTAGATTTTCCAAAAATTCATTGAAAAAAAGTAAAAGATATAAACTATCTTTTTTCTTATAAATTTATGTATGGTAGTGTGGAAGTATTTTGAATATTCTTGAAGATCTAATAAAAAATTACAGGTTTTTTTAGTTTGACTTTTACACCATTTTTTTTTAATTCATACTAGATTTGGAATGACAATTTAATAAAGGACGATTTTCTTGGACAATGTGTGATTCCTTTGAAAGAGAAATCTAAATACACAGGAAAAACGATACAATTTCCTCTTTTGGGGAAAGGAAAGGAAGAAAGCACGAAACAAAAAGGAACGATTAGTGTGACTATATTACATACAAAGGAAATGGACACCGTATGATGACCTCGAATTCGAGGCTAACCGACTGGAACATCTTTATCAGACCAAGTGTAGCCACGCTTTCATACATTTATTAGTACATGTAATGTGCAAAAAACTACCACTGTTTCGCCTTCATACATCCATAAGTACATGTAACGTGCAAAGAGAGTGTTTCGTTAATCACCAACATTTAGCCCTTGGATTTCCCATGGTTATACAGAAAGTTACTTTCTCCCCTCTTCCCCTCCTTTTTAACAGATCTAGAGGGAAGTTACTCAGTGTATACTGAGTCAACGTAATTTTTGGAGAAATTACAAGTTCTACGGCAAACAAATGGAAATTAAACATACTTAGTCTATTATGATAACTACAGTTTCTAAGAGTGTTGTATATCATGAACTTGTAAATTGTTGTTGCATTTGCCAGATATTAAGTGTTTTATATACATGAATTGTTTTAGATAAATAAAAATATTAATGTTACACTTTGTAAAAAATTGCTTTTCATTCGGAAATATCTGGTTTTATTCTACACTATAAGCCTAACCCGAAGTTGTATCTTCTGTAAAGTCTTAAAATGTGTTGAGGCAATTTTCGAGGAATAAATGATTGTTTTGCAATAAAGAGGCTCGACAAAGGACGTCTGGAACGATTCATGAGAAAAGGAAAAAGTATCTCGAAGCGAACTATGTCTTGTTAAAGTACATGTAGATTAATGATTGATAAAATTGTAAAATAAGAGTTTGAAGTGGGGGTGTCTGAATTAGTGTTAGATATATGTTTGTATCTTAGATACTTTTTGGAGAATAGGGAAATTTTTGTCTTAGTCGTAAGGTGTGCGGACATATGGAAAAATGCCCCGTTTTGAAGCCTGGTACATTACAGAACGAAGATATTTGTGAAAAGGTCCACAGAACTTTATCTAGGTCAATGAATAAACAAAGCAGTATTTCCGACAAAATGCTGGGGTGTTTGGAATGAATTTTCACTTTCTTTCGATACAGTAGTAATAAATTATAAGGGACAAATTAAGTCTTCTCCCAAGTTGTATATTATTGAAGAGTATTCAAATAATTTGTAATACGTAACCACCTTGTAAATCATCTCGACCAAATGTTTTGGAATGTTCTATCGGCAAACCCCGAAACTCTGTCTTAATAAGGTTTTTCAGTTACCAGTATTTCCGTTGTATCAAAGTCAAAACACATTGCATGTTTGATAGAGTGGTGGTTCCTCTAAAACAACTACGAACAAGAAGTAAATGTACGTGCACTCGAAATAATTACCTCAAAACATTTTAAGACCAAATAAGGTACATCAACTTCCGGTTTCGTTTAATGATAGATAAGATAAACTGCTTGTAAAATATAAAAAGTACCCGACTTATTAATGACACTGGCAACACTGAATATAACAGTAATTGAGCTTCGTTAAATAAAACAAGACTTTTTTTTTTATTTTGGAGTCCCCTCCATTTATGGTTTTCATTCGGAAGTCACTTGTTTTATTGTACATATTTATAAATAAATATGTATTTATTATATTATATATAAATAAACGAAACCACGATTTGATTATCTTGTTTATAGTCTAAAAATGTGCTGAGGTAATTGCCGAGTAATAAATTAGTGTTTTACCAAAAAAAGAAACAAAACAAAACAAAAACAGAAAACAAAATAGTAATACATAAAATAAATGTCCCAAATAAAATCGATGAATTTTAGTAAACATGATGGTTAAATTTAAGATGTTATATTGACATAATAGATTACACAGTTTCTAAGAGAGAAAAAAACTGTTAATTCTCTTTAATTTGACTAATATATATATTGCAAAAAAATGACACTCCAATTTAATTTGTGAGAACTGCAATTGTTCTAAAAAAAAAATAAATGATTTCAAATCAGTTTAACCATTAATGTTCACACTGTGCACAAGTGACTAGAAACAGTTTTCGATTTATGCGGTATGTTTAATACAAAAGGAAAAATGCAATGATTTGATATTTTTTTAGTTCCAATGCATGTATGATAATATTTTAAAACCATTAATGACATTCGAAATTTTTTTTATCTTAACTACATTAAAATTATACTCATTAATCATTAAATTCAAAGGCTTTTGATATGGCACGTTATTTTTAGATACATGAGTAAGATATGAAATATTAACTACATGTAAAATAATTGTTGGAAATCAAGAATGAACACATATTCCTCGTATAATTAATATAATATGAAAACTTAATATAAAACGAGTTAACAATAAATTTATAAGAAGTTTCAAGTTACTATAGTTGAAATTGACTTAAAAAAACAAACTTAAACAAGTTACAAAATATTCTGATAACAAACAAGAACATTCGTATTATATCGACGCAATATAGTAGCGTTTTAGAGATGTCTACATGCTAAGCATAGTTTGTTAATTTCAGAGATATACCCCCCTTATTTTCACATTGTTAATGAAAAACTATCGGTATCAAAATTTTCGAGATGAAATATGTGGGGATAACGAACAGTATTCGAGCTCAAAAGGTCATTAAACATTACAAAATAGGAGCAGAGCAAACACGGACCTCTAAGACATCAGAGTTGGGATCAGGTGCCATGGAGGAGTGAGCATCCCCTGCCGACCGGTCACACCCGCCGTGTGCTCCTTGTCATGATCGGGAAATAACGGAAAATCCGTCGACAATTCAGTGTGTAAATAATGGCTTAACAATTAGTATGGAAAAAGTCAGTCAGCATTTGACTTAATGATAGATTTATTTGCTGACAAGGTCATTGTATCGATCACAGAACTTACGAATTGATGACTTTAAACGAGACTGCTGATATTCTTGTTTCATCAACTTGTTTGTCAATAACTTACCTCGTTTTAGAAATTGTTCATACGTACAGCATGCTCTGGCGTATCGAATCAACTGAGAAATATATACCCCGTATGCAGGTGATAAGGGTATATTGCTGCATAAGTAAGGGAAGTTGACGATTGAAATGTAAAAGTCATCACGTTTATCATAAAGCTTTGTTGTTAGATTACTATTAACGTCTTTTTCTAATAAAATATCCAAATATGAAACAGATGTGTCAGACTCTGTGGTATCTTTTATCTCAAGCTCACCGCGATATATCGTGTCGACATAAGAATGGAAATAACCATTGTTAATTGACAATACATCGTCGATATATCTAAATGTCGAGTTGAAGGCAACAGCAAGTGTTTTCTTCCTTTCACATAAAAGATTTTGAACAAATTCTGCTTCATATGAATGCAAATATAGGTCTGCTTATAACGGGGCGCAATTAGTACCCATGAAAATTCTAATAGATTGTTGGAAGACCTGGTCTCCAAAAACCACATAGATATTGTCAATCAGAAACTCGAGCATCTTTTTAATATCAAGTTCAGAGTAGGATCTCATTGGACATCACATTGTTCATGGAAAACTCAGTATCAAAATTTTCTGGATAATTATAAACGAGTTTTTCATGTCAACAAAAATAGATAATGAAGTATATATCGTTAACTTCATACTCGCAATAGCCGGTTTGGATTCTTTGATGAAAACTAAACTATCATTATGAGTATTCCATGTGAACAGCTGCCTTTTCATAATTATTTACCTTCTTTTGAATGAGGGATACATTTCATACAGGTAAGATAACGTAAGAATATTGTGTGTTAGTATATACCTATAAAAAGGAGCACATTACCAACATGACACCGACATGAAATTGCAAATCTGTTTTAATATGAATAAAAAAAAGAAAAACATCTTACAATGTATTTAATTTTAAGATATCAAAACTTAAAGTTTGTGTTATTTTTCTTGTTTCTTTAACCAGCTTGCATACATCTCCACATGGTCACGACTTTGTTCTTTGTCGATTTCCTCCATTATGACATCAGACAACTTCCGCTTAGTATCTGGATAATATATTGCAATTATATAAGTTTCTCAAACGAATTTAAGTTTCACTTATAGCAAAGAAATATCTACGAAACACAATGAATGACTTGGGTAGTCTATTAAGGCAAATTTCCACTTGACCTTTACCTTAAGATATTATACTGTTCTGAAAACTTCAACTGGTAAGGACAGTTAGAAATTTCGTTTTCGAGAAATGCAGTTGTTAACTGTGACCAATATTGAAGCCAATGCCAAGAAAGCGACAAAACATACATACCAATAAGGAATTCACGTTCTCCAGTTCTGGAGATGGTGAAACACCTATATCATAAAAAAAAAACTCATTGGTTGAGTAGGTTGGACAAAACTTACCGTCATATTTAATGCATCTACATTTTTTCTGCATCTCCTCCGGGGTTGCCGCTGAATCTAAGATGGCGGTAAGTTGTTCTACTAATGAGTCACACTGATCATACATCTGTTTCTTAGACAGCCCTGCTATCATTGATTTGTGCATTTCTGCAAGGGCTTTTACTGGTGTCAACATTTCGCCCGCAAAGTAGTAATCACAATTTTCACCCTGTCAAATATATACAACAAGATAACTTTTACTGGGTATTTTGAAGCACAAACTGAGAATTCTTCAGAAACAATATGAAAGTGAAGGTAGAATAAAGATCAACCAAGGGATGTTCTTTGGTAAAAACTGAACCCTACTTCAGTGGAAATGACAATTCATAGTAAGTAATCTTACCTCTACTCTGTAGAGCTTACACGGGAAAACTCGTCTTGTAGCAGCCATTTGTTTCACTATAGGTTTAACCTCAAACGGGCCTTGTATTCTGTCGTCAGCCATAGTTAATAATGGTTTAAATTCACAACTTTTAGGGACGAATTGTAGGAGACTTCTTGAAACTTTAAATTTTTTCTTAATTGCTGTAAATTTTCGAATATCGTCTTGTTCCATTCTGCTCTCAAGTCGCTCGTTGAAATCTAGAAGAAATAAAAATGACAGTTCAATCTGTTTCTAATACCAGAATTTAACAGATCAATGAAATTTTCGAGTAACTAAGTTGAAAATCGGGATCGGGATTCCGTACCTGGAAGGACATGTCTGAGATAGTTAACATGAAATGCCCAGGCCAATCCAAAAGCCACGTTACCAGCCGGGACCTGTGACCTTAAGGTTACAACATCACCTTCAAATACAAAATATATATGTAATTTTGCACAACATTTTTTTTGAACTGTGTGACTGATTAAACCAGGTGCATTACTGAAGTAATTTGTAGTATATTTTCTTCGTAGAGAAGCCAAATTGTGAGTTCAAGTTACATTGAATAAAAAAAAAAGTTCAGAAATGAGTTGAATTTGAAAAAAAAATACCTTTGATGATCTCATATATCCTTTCTTCATAAGAGGGCTCGTTAGAAATGTCTATATAAGTCACCCATTGAATAAAGTTAGGAATGAATGAACTATCAACGTCTTTTAGTAAAATAATGATTTTCAACTCATTTTTTTCGATACAATCGTTCAGTAACCCTGCCAACCAAAATTCGATATAGTCTTTTCTTCTGACTGTATTGACCGATATCAAGCAACAAACCCATCTTGCATCTTTTATTCGTTCTTCTATTACTTCTAAAATAATAAATTATGTGATATGTTGTTTTTATATGTAAAACTGTCTCATTCAAAAGTTTTGGAAAAACGAAAGCTCACAGAAAACATCTTTAAGTTAATAGTCTATTTTAAAAGCAACATACAAAATCTTTATACATTTTGTTTTATTGCTATTTTACCTGGAGAGTCAACGGGTGGTCGTGCAATAGAGCATCGAGTTTTCTTATTTTCCAAAAACATCCGAATTTGCTTTATAGTTCTATTATCCGGGCTACTGCGAACCGAGTTCCGGTTTTCTAAAGCGTCAATGTCACTGTACAAAAAGCACACATCTACTGCACAATTTGATGTCGACCGTATCAGATGACTTGCTGGTCTGTCACTCTAAAATAAGGAAATACTCTGCTAAATTTCTGACGTTACATGGTAGATTAAAAAAAAAAAAAGAAAGAAAGTGACTCTGGAACAATTCTAATACCAGTGGTTTCATCATTGTCTCTTCTATTGCGTCTCTGACACCATTAAACAAATTGTAAGAAGGGGTATTTTTCTCTCCCTTACCTTCATCTAAATTGGTAAAAAAGGAGGTAAAATTATTCTTAAAATGCGAAAGTAAATAAATTAAAACGGGAATATCGAAACGAATAGAAATTTCCACAAAATTCTGTGTTTAATTTTTTTTTTTTTAAATATTGCGAATGTATTTTATTAGAAACAGATTAAACAAAAATATGCAGAGCATGAGTTTATTTGTTCTTCAAACATTTACTAGTATTTGTCTACTTCGACAAATTATTTTATATAATCTTCGATTCATTAAAAGTTAAAATTCCTATCTTTCAGGACAAAATATATGTTCCAGATTCATAATATACATTAAATTATTCTAACGTTATTATATTTCAGTCTTAAGGTAAGAAAATGTGTCGAACAAACCATCAAACATGAGGACTCTTGCTCTTCCAATACATTCCTCATTTCGACTATGGTTCAGTATTTCCTCTATCTTGTATTTGAATCTTTCTACTTCCGTTTTGCGCTGTCGGGGAGTTAGGAGATTGAGTACTTCGTCTGCAATGAGCCCAAGAGCACACAGAGCACTGGGATATTCGGCACAGCAAAAATACTCCTAAGAGAAATTAGGCATGTTTATCTCTACAGGAACATGTATTTTAATAACTGAGTTATAGGAATGCATGTATTGCATTTGCAATGGTTTGCTCTCGTTTACCGACATGGAATACACATTGGTGGGGTTCATCAAAATCGTTTGTTCTAAGTTACGAATGTATATGTTCTTTTTGTTTATTTTGGAATATTTCCCCACATAAAATTATCATATTTTCCTATGGGGTCAAAAGCAAGTACAAAGGAAAAGAGGACATATGACGGAAGTCCGTAGTTTTGAACCTTTTGAGATGACTTTAAATTCGAAACAAAGTCACATATTAATCTATGTCAAACAAACATATACCACAAAAGCAAAATTCAATTTTTTTGTTTACATCAATCAATTATTAATCTACAAATCTACAAATTATTGCAGAGTGTGGCAATTCCACTGCCACTGAAACGATATTTTCTGAAATAAGAGATCACCGAATAATTATAAGGGATAATATTATGAATAATAAACTAATTATTTACGGTACAATGCAATGTTATATCTCCAACATGTGACTTAAGCTGAAAGCGTATAGCTTTACTCTGAACTATTAAGAAAAGTTTGATATTTAGAGATGTCGTCAGCTCAAAAAAATGCTAAGGTCAATATTTTGTTGTATTCTCTACTAGAATAAATCTTAAAGAATCCAAGAAATAAATAATAAATGTACTTATAAGTTTATAATCATTAAACAAGAGACCCCTGGGCCTCAACACTCTGAGTACCTTAGCCATGTTATCCTTCAGAAGAAGTTTTATTTCTCTTTATTCTCGTGAAAAAAATTTTGATCTCATTTGGTGATCCCACCCTAGCTTCAAGCTTAAGAGGTCTTAACTTATAAAACTTGAAGCACACAAGATTGGGATGCTTCTATATATATATATATATATATATATATATATATATATATATATATATATATATATATATATATATATACATACATATCAATGTGGCTAACAAAGCCTTGCTGTACTGGAGATTTTCATTTAAATCATGGCCCTGATCATCGAAGTCTAATCATGAACCTACAGTTCTAGAGGAGATGGTTTATGAAGATTTTTTCCTATACATTTCGATATTAAAATTTGATCCCCTATCCTGGCCCATTCTACCCCTATGGACCATGATTCAAACAATTTAGAAGTCCGACAGCTTTCAGATAGATTACGTTTCATATTTTCTCAGTGGTCCTTGAGAAGATTTTAAAATTTCCCATCGTTATTTTTGCATTTTGTTGATTATCTCTCCTTAAAAAAGCATGGTCCATTTATTTGTACAATTGAATCCCTTCACCCAAAAATATTCAGTGTCAAGTTTGGTTGATATTCACCAATTGGTTCTGGAGAAGAAGTTGAAAACGTGTGAAGTTTTTGCTAGTTTAATATTTCCTTACCTCCTCATTGCCCTCTTTATTCCTCCCTTTAACTTTGTAGATTGTAGGATTAAATGGTCGGCCGTTAATAACCAAGTCGACTTTTCCTACATTTTTAACGTTTGAGTCTACGTCGGCGATGTCTCGTTGACCTGTTGCACTTGTAGGGCACAGCATAAAAAATACAGTTGACATTCTGCCTAGGTTATTTTGGAAAATATCAGACTTCTTTATCTGTTGAGCTAGATCTAGTAAAACAATTTTCATTTCAATCAGCCGAAGAATTAAACACCATATGCATCGTTTATACTATTGACTCATATTTAAGGTCGGCGTTGGACAGACAGAATGCTTTGGCGGAAAATAAGTGGACGTTTAAGGGGAAATATTTTAGCGGAAGATTTATAGGAGGTTTTAGTGGAAGTTAAATTAGTATGTGGACATTTTAGCGGAAATCTAAGTAAAATGTATTTATGCTTCTTCCGTTAGTCCGACTAACTCCTTTGCCTCCTGCTTAGCAACAGGGGAGGTGGAAGTAAAATTTTGAGCGGAATATAATGTTCATAAAAATACACTTAATGTCTAAAACACCAGCAGTCATTAAATATGAAGACAACCAAAAAGCATAGAAAAACATATTTACACCATTTACATGTCATTATTGGCTCTGTATCTGTTGATGTTGGGAACTTAGTAAATAGTTGGTCAGTTTTTGCTGACATTACATTGTATTGATTGTCTAAAATAAATAAAATCTACCTGTGAAAAAAGTCCGCTAAAATGTATATTGCATTTTTACAGATAACTACATTTTCTTAGGATATAAAATGTCCTAAAAATTTTCCGCTAAATTGTCCATTCACACCTTTTGCAATTCAGTTAAAATGCACTTCGCATATTAAAGGTAATGGGTTCGCTAGTGACGGTATGCTTAGCAATTTTGCTAGTCAACATGAATTTTGAAACTTCTTGCTAAAAGGTTTTTAGATTTTGTTCAAGTAAGATTTTCTAGTCAGGAAATATAAAAAATAATAATAATTTCGCTACATATTTTTGTTAATCATATCATGGAAGAGGTAATGATACCTGGTAATATCAACTTCAAATACCCAGCGAAATGTGACCAGGCCATCCCAACAGCGAAGTTTCCAGCTGGTAGAAGTTGATTTAATTGTACCTCTCCTGTATAACGTACAGAGCAATGTGTTACAATACTCAGCGGAATTCAATAGCATGCAATAAAACCATTTCTACAGTTGGAAAACAAACCGATATTCTCGAAATGAAAATCACAATTCCGTACTTTTTAAAGTCCGACACACGGTTTCCATACAACGTTCATGATAATTGTCCACTAAAACCATCTGAGTTGCTTGTTGAAGGAAGGGAATTTTTGGTAAGTCTTGGACAGTCATGCCGTCAATTAGAAGCACCATGAGAGACAAACGACCAGTCTGCAGACATTGTTCTAAAGCGAGATAGGTCTCTAAAGAAAAGTCTACTTCCTTTGCGCTCTCTGATAGGATTAGAAGTGTTTTTCGACTTTTCTGAATTGCCTTTGCAATGCTTTTGTACTGATGTGCTCCAAGTGGAGTAGAGAAACCAGGACGAATATATTTTATATTTTCCCGATCAAAATTGTTTAAAATGGTTTTGAGAATTCTATATTCGTCATCTTCATTGTAAAAGATAGTGACGTCACTGTCGTCTATTCCCTTTATCCAATCATATTCTTCGTCACTGGAATCGTCACCAGGTGGGCGCGCTTCCGCCATTGTAAAATTCAATCCCTAGAAAAAGAAGAAAACGGTCATTTTTGAATTGATAATTTCTTAATATAATTACGTGTACATGTCATGAGACTTCACATATATTAGTTAATCACTTATTTTGAAAGGCATTAATGCCTTTCTGCAAACAGCATTACAGCATTGTTACACAGTTTCTAAATACATCTTCATTGTAATTAAAATGCTTTATTTTTTCTCCTTTTATTTGTTTTTACCCATAAAAATCACGGATGGTTTCTATGATTCAATAGTTAGATATAAAAACTCTACAATTTTAAGATGCAATGAAAACTGTCTTTAGAATCCGACAGTTGTGCAGTTCGTTTACTGTGAATTCCGAATTTATTTTCATTCCTAATTTACTAACATTTTCCTTTTTTTTACACTGTGTATTCCGACACCCTGTCTATTCCGACACAAAAATTGTCTTCCTGTGCAAGTCGGATTAGACAGGTTTCACTGTATATCATTTCTGGAGATCAGTGTTACTGAAAATGAGAACATAAATGCATTTCACATGTTAGTTCTATATACAGCTAGTTATTTGAGAGACATATTACTAAATGAGATTTACTCTGAAAAGCCTAGATATGTTTGCTGAAATATCCATTACTAAAAACCATTTATAAAGTCTATAGACGTTTTCATTGCCACTGAGCAGAAAACAGGAATAAACTGCAATAATGTCGTGATGAGATTAGAGAAAACGCTTTGAACTTCCAATAAGAGGTCCATTTTCGAGCCAATATGCAATGACTAAAAGAATCGAGCTTTTCCGACCGTAATACCCAGTGAAAGACTTATTGACAAATTCTTCGACCGCCAAACATAAACAATTCTGGAATGGCTTCCATTAATGGTGAAGTTGTGACCTAGGTTTTTTGTTGTCATCTCAGTAGCTGGGGAAAAATGGAGAAATATAAGCATGTTCTACCGGGACAGCATGTCTATAAAGGACGTTTATTTTTTGGTTTTTCGCCACCAGATGTTCTGGATGCCGTCAAAGATTTTGACGTCAGAGAAGATGACGTTTTTATTGTGACGTACCCAAAAGCAGGTATCTATAACTTTTTAAATTAAATCAGAATCTTAATGTTGAACATATTTCATACAAAGAAACTTTAAAGGATTTAGGAAATTGAATAAAAGAGTATGTGTTTTTCTCTGTAAAAATAATAATAATAATAATAATAATCCTTCGGAATTTTTTGTTACTATCATGAAAATCACAATTATCTCGGCATATTTTTATATTAGCCAATAACTTTTTAAAATCATTTAATAATTATTAGTAATAATTAAAAATCGATTCATTATAATTAACTTCACTGCAGATATATATATTTTATAAACAGAAATTAAAATTATTTGAGTTTTTCCTAGTTGATTTTAACCTCTGATAATACTGTTTGTAAATTATCTTTTTCTTTTTATCATCCTATAAATTTATTGTCTTTAACCCTCCAATTTCATCTAACATTTCAAACAACATTATGTAAATAGTTCACTTTGACGCATTATCAGACCGTTCTTGTTTAAGTCAGGGCCGGATGTTGCACCAGAATGACATTATATAACAAGAGACCATGTAACATGAAAATGTCATATCTCTTTCCAAATTTATTTTTAATAATAATAACATATGATGGTTGTGAAAAACGATACCCTTTTTTCGTGAAGAATATTTTCCCCGTTTTTCTTTTTTATTAAACGTTAAACAATCAAACAGTTTCCGTTTGATAAGTATTTGACCATTTCATTTTTTTTTCTTCAATAATACTGGATGAATGATTCATTACAATTATTAAGTTTTTTTTAATTATAGGAAATAAATATACATCTACTTCATTATCTAGATTTTTTTATTAAATGAATAACAATCAAACAGTTTCCGTTTTACAAGTATTTAACCATTTCATTTTTTTTTTCGATAATAATGAATAAATATTTCATTACAATGTTTAAGTTTTAATTATAGGAATTAATATACATGTTTTTCATTGTATAGATGATTATATTAAATTTGAAATGTGTAATACTATAAAGTCTATTAATTGAACGTCAAAATCTCAAAAGATGACATGTACATAATTGTATTAGTTTCAAGGCTATATAACTAAGAACCATCTTAAGGAAACACCAATTTTGATAGGTCCTTTTATAAAATTCAATTTATATGAGATTTGTACTCCTCGCAATAGTAAAATTAATGACCAAGAGGGATCCAAATCTGTATTGAAATGTGCATTGATCAGCTCATTATTATCTTAAAGTTAGAATGAAACGCGTATACATTTACATATCTTCGGTATTGAAAACAGATTAGGAATCATTTCCTTATTTGCTGACGTGGTTATAATCCTTTAACAACCTTAATTGTTTGAATTTAAAAAAAAAATATGAGCGTCATCAGATTCATTTTCCCCGTGCAGTACTGTAAATAACCTCGCCGACCCAGGCGACCCACCCTTGTTTTGCCCTGCAGCGACCCACCATTAATGACCATGCACTTAAGAATATAATTCAACTTACCTTGAGGAAGAAAATTTTCAAAAAAAAAAAAAGTGTGGAGTCGAAGTCGGGAGAAAATTTTCACTACTGAGAATTTTCTGTATCTAAAAATAGATCAAAGGTATTTACAACTCGTGGGGATTTCCTGTTAAGTCTACTTTCGGTTCCCCATAAATAAATTGACAACATAAGCTGATGTAAAGGGACACCCAGGAGATCCACCCAGCCCCACCCTAACCCCCAATCTTTGACAGCTGTGTCAAAAATAGTATTTAAAAACAAGCAAAATTATGATCAGGCTCCCCCTTTAATTTCCCACCAATTTTTTTATTTCCGGATAAGCTGACAATTGACTTTAAAATATGGAACGGTGGGAGTGTTTGATATTTATTACACCGTAATGATATACATTATGTATTTAAACAAAATGAAAAAGAGTATATTAAATATTCAAAACCATAAAAAGGTAAATTCATTACCTTTATTAAAAAGGTACACCATTCTTTTAAAGCACGAAGAATTTCATAGCATATATGTTGCATACATTGTATATGCAAATTATGGATTTCGATTTAAACTATTAAATAAAGATAATGTTGTTCAATAATAATTTCTGAAATTTGTCCTTTTGAATCACTTAAAATCCTTATCTTCCAACAGTAAAATCCTATTTCAACAACCATTTACGCTAGAGTAATATCATAATTTTTATTTTATATTTTTCAGGCGCGGATCCAGGAATTTTTTCCAGAAGGGGGGGGGGGGTTCCACCCCAGTCAAAAAAAATTCCAACCCAGAAATTCCTTGACTAAAAAAAAATAAATATCCTTCCAAACCAAACCTATTAAACCATAAAAAATTCTTGACAAGCAAAACAAAAAAAAACCGTGAAATCCATTTCCCATTGGTCAAAAAAACCTATTTCGAGGTCGTGATGGTGGGGTCCACTTTTTCTTGGGGGGGGGGGGGGTCCAATGCCATTTTTTATACTTTTTATAACTCTGCAAATTCCGGGGGGGGTTCCGGACCCCCCCTCCCCGCCCCCTTTAGATTCGCGCATGTTTTTTTTTAATTTTATTTATATATTTATTTATTTATTTTTTGCAAATATTTTGCGATAAAGTCAGATTATTCAAACTTGCAAATTTTCAAAAAATCACTACATGTATAAAGTTTTTTATTGACATTTTACAGTAAGCCATAAGTTTATCAAATAAACTGAATTTCCCGGGGGGGGGGGGGGGGGACTGTGGCATTGATCAAATTGTATATTTTTATATTCACATAACTTGATCTGATTTAACAATATTGATATAATAAAACTATTATACGTTTAAGTAAATAGGTACTTGTTTTAATGAATATCGATCTGTAAAGTAATTTAGTAGAATACATGAATTATACTTTCGATAGATCTTCGAATTTCTACGTACTACATGTATTTCGAAATGCTGTCCTTGTAACTTTGAAATACAAAGCACTTGTTAATATATTGAACTAACCATATCTTAACAAATTTACGCTATTTTTTTTTCGTTATAATGAAGCTCTCCTACCTGAGAAATTAATTTATCTTCAATTTTTTTTTAGGAACAACTTGGCTTCAAGAAATTGTATGGCTGATTGTAAACGATGGAAACATCCAAAAAGCAAAGGTGGAGCAAGTCTACTTTCGGTCGCCATTTTTGGAATTCAAAGACCTGGTGCTAAACGAAGTAGGCCTCGAACTTGCTAAACCCATGCCCTCCCCAAGGGTCATAAAAACTCATCTCCCCGTGGATCTGGCACCTACTGGGATCTTCAAAACCAAATGCAAAGTAACATTTATTTATTTCAAATTTATTTATTCATTTATTTATCTTTTAATTTTGAGGGTTTTTAAAAAAAAAAATTATTTATATATTTATTCATTTATTTATTTATTCATTTATTTTTTTGAGTAAGCTGTTTTTAATAACTTCAAGCGGAGTTTAAACTTAGTTAGTGAATTTTGAAAAACAAGATTTACCTGCCAAGTATTTTTTTAAAATATATATTTATTTCTTATTATTATTTCAAATTGTTTACTATTTTATCAATTATTTTCTAATTATAGTGAACGAGGCCAAATGAAAATTAATTTTATATTAGATATTCCACTGCAGGAAGAAACTGTTTTGAAGTTTAAATTTCTCGTTAAGTTAAAATTTCTCGAACGAGATGTAAAATAACACACAATCAATCAAATATTATTTTTTCATTTCAAATTTTTACATGATTTTTGTTTATCTTAAACATCACTCTGATTAAAATCAGATCCTTTGATCCGCTCAAATAGATCGCTACACACCTTGTGTAGCGATCAATGTGAGCGGATCAAAGGATCTGATTGTAATCAGATTTTCTTAAACATATGATCTGATTTATAAATTTAAATTCTTTCATGAGGAAAGTTAATTCTTCTATAATTGTGAATTACAGAAATTCAGTATCATGCAACAATTAATGAACTTATATAATTTTTTCTCATGCATCCAATATTTGTTCACTTGCAAGTAAAAAAAAAAAGTAATGAAATTTTATTATCTACAAATATTACAGGATTTTTTTTAAAAATGTATTTCTCCATGGTTACCTTTCTTTATTGTCTCAACAGAAATTAGTCCTGTTTAGGAATCCAAAGGACCTTTGCGTCTCCTATTTCCACTTTTATCGTTCCAGTTCGTCCTTTGGAAACTTCCAAGGAAGTTGGCCGGAGTTTCTGGAAATGTTTTTAGATGGACATGGTATAATCCTAAATAAATTAATTTCCTTTTCATAAAAATTAAACTGAATTTATTTTTTTATGTTGGAAAATTAATATATGTATTGACTGAAAATTTATACTGAATATTTATTTTGTATATGCATTTATAATGTGAGCACCACCTCTCGAGTGGCCTCTTTTATATCGATATCACTACGGCGTCAGAAAATCCCCAGTGTAATATAAAAAGTGCAGAATTTTCATCCAGATAAATTTAAAATTTTAGACTTAAATGGCATCTTTTTTTTCAAATTCCTGCTAAGCTTACAGTAATTTTTAATTTTATCGTGGCGTCCGGAAATCTTTAAATGTTAACATTCATTTTCCACAGTCGACCATGGTTCCTGGTTTGATTTCACAAAAGGATGGTGGGATAAGAGGGATAACTCTGATGTCTATATTTTGTATTACGAGGATATGAAAAAGGTTAGAGTTATCGGACATTTCTTTCTGTGAGGGGAAAAAGTTATTTAAAAATTTTCATTGATATAAATTCTTAAGGTATTCAATATGTATAGGTGCGCCTTGGGTATATAACATGTACATGTAATTATGCATGGCATATACATGTACATGTATATGATTGTCATTGTGCCCGCATTTTTTATCGATGTATAAAGGATCGTCTCTTTTTTTTTCTTTTCGTAAGGATCTGAAAAATGAAATTAAGAAGATGAGCTGCTTTCTCGATAAGAGCGACATATCAGAAGATACAGTGGACAAAATAGCCAATCACTGCTGCTTTGAGAGCATGCGCACAAACCCTATGACAAATCACCACGACGTATATTCCATCAACAAAGAGATTTCACCTTTACTCCGAAAAGGTTGTATATATGGTATTTCTTTAAAAGCATTTAAAGAATCAAATTACATTGTAATTCTTTGTCGGTTAAATTGTTGAATAAAAGATGAAGATATGTAAATTGTTAATTTCAAGATCATATCCTGTAGTCATTACCGTCTTTTCAAGAGGGGTGGGGGTGGGGGTTGGATTTGAACAATTCAATTCAATTCAATTCGTTTATTTACCAATTAAGGGCCCTCATGGGGCAAAAAGAAAGTACATTGTTAAAATGTATGTAATGATTATGATCATACACATTAAAAGCCAGGCCTATTTATTAGAGAGTCTAAATACTAAATTATGCTTGCTTAATGCTAACAAGTAACTGACTTTAAAAATAAATAAATAAATGAATAATTGTCCAAATGGCCTTTTGTTGTTCTATAGGAGAAAAGACGATTTCTCTCTCTTGTTTTTATCTCTAGGGTTATATCATTATTATGTGAAATAATCAATATTTATTTAATATTTGAAAACAAAATTAATCACCCTTCACCTGTACTAAACATTACAATTTTAAAAGTACGTTGTTTTGTACTTTTTAAGATTATACTCTAAGTCTTATATATAATACAAATGTGTAGGTTTATAATTAGTATGTTCATGAAGGAATATGATACAATGTAAGTTTTCTTGCAATTCTGGTACATTTCAAGCTGTGATAAAGTGGGCGTATTTGGATATCAATATACAAAAGTAAATTAATTGTCATGTATCTTTTAGTACATGCTGAGAATTATTCGTGATTTTTCATTTTTGCATCAAAAGATGATATATTAGTTTCTTGTGTTCAGGTACTCTATCAATATGATTAACAAAATATTATGTCATTTAAATGTGTTCATCCATTTGCTATTTCCAAACTGACTGAAATGAATAACATTTTTCACTATATGTAACAAATTGTAGGTTTCAGCAAAAAATAATAATGATAATCATCATCATCATCATCATCATCTCTCTCTCTCTCTCTCTCTCTCTCTCTCTCTCTCTCTCTCTCTCTCTCTCTCTATATATATATATATATACATGATTGAATTAAAGTACAAACTTTTTCAGTTTATTTTCAGTTTATAAGTTAATGTATACCCCTTTTCTTCCTTATGAAAGCGTGAATACTAGACTGTGTACTCTCCATATAACTTTTTTTTCTGGAGACATGCCAATGATTGTATGTCTGACTCTCGAAAATTGCTTCTTTTGTGCTTTTCATCCCCCTCCCTACAGCATGATGAGGATTTGAAATCCTGGATTCTCTCCTGTTTAATGTTTTCGTATTACTTACATTTAGGTTTTTTTTCCTTTTCGTTACAGGTATGATGGGAAATTGGAAATCTTGAATCATTCTTTCCAAGAACTTTTGTCCCCCGCTTTCACGAAAGCGATGGGACATTAAATCTCATTCGCCTGTCAGCCGTCGCCCACGTGGCGCATTGGTAGAGTGTCTGCTCTGGAGTCGCGGAGTAAGGAGTTGATCCTTACCTCGCGGGTTCGAATCCCACGTGAAGGGACGTGAAGACCGATCTTTCGGATGAGACCGTATAAACCAAGGTCCCGTGTCGCAGCGCAGTAGATGTCGCCACGAAAAAGATCCCTTACTCCTCAATGGCCCTGAGTGCCGAGTATAGGTCAAAATTTGCAGCTGTCCACCGGCAAGTGGTGGCGTCTCCATATGAGTGAAAAATTCTCGAGAGGGACGTCAAACAAAAAAAAAAACCCAATCTGTCAGCCTGTCCGTCTGTCAGCTTGTCTGTCACAAAAAATTAACTTTTGAATGAGAAAAGATGGGGTTTTCATATTTAACATGTACATTACTTGTGATAAGACCTTTACAAATATACTATGAGTTTTGATCCCGTGACCTTGACCTTGAAGTTTGACTTACTGTTCAAAAATTATAACATTACTCTTACCTTGCTCATAACTTTTGAATGAAAAGAGATTGGGATTTCATATTTACATGTACGTTACCTGTGACAAGACCTTTCAAAATGTACTGTGATTTTTGACCCCATGACCTTGACCTTAAAGTTTGACCTACTTTTCAAAATTCATAATTTACAAAGTTATAACTTTTAAATGAAATAAGATACAGCATAAACTCGCTTGCTTTGAATTTTTTGTCGGGTGGAAGAAAATTCAAAACGAGCGAGTTTATTGGTCTGCATAGACGACTAAAAAGGGTTAGGAGGTGGATAAAACATACAGGTTGGTAACAGAATATATCTAGAATTAGGGAATGAAAGATAGCTGATTGACCAATGCCGGAAAGTGGAGAAATACATCCCCAACCGTGCGCAGAAAATCTTCCGCCGTAAATTGCACCATATTTGCATCACAGGACCTGAAGCTTTATGGTCAAAGACTAAAATGTAAAACCATAACGCTACAGTTCTGCAGCTACATTCATATTCGACATGTGCATTACCTGTGACAAGACGTTTCCGAACATGCTATGATTTTTTACCCCTTGACCTTGATGTTTGACCTAATTTTCAAAAAAACAATTACTTTTCATAGGAAAAAGAAAAAAAATTATATTTGACATATGCATTACCTGTTTCAAGACCTGTCCGAATATACTTGGTTTTTACTTTTTAGCTCTACTGGTCAGAGACCAGAAGAGCTTATGCGATAGTAAGGTGTCCGTCGTCCGTCCGTCTGTCTGTCTGTCTGTAACCAATTTTTCAAAACGCTACTCCTCCTACAGTTTTGGTCTGATTTCAATATAACTTGGCACACAAGTAGACTACACTAAGATACATAATTTAGTGCATCGGTTTTCGATTTCGATGAACAGTGTTTCCATGGTTACTAAAAATAGAAATTTCTGTGAAATTCCTTTAAAATGCTACTCCTCCTACAGTTTTGGTCTGATTTCAATATAACTTGGCACACAAGCAGACTACACTAAGATACATAATTTTGTGCATCGTTTTTAGCTCACCTGAGCTGAAAGCTCAAGTGAGCTTTTCTGATCACCCGTTGTCCGTCGTCCGTCCGTCCGTCTGTCCGTCCGTCCGTCTGTAAATTTTTCACATTTTCAACTTCTTCTCAAGAACCACTCGGCCAATTTTAACCAAACTGGGTACAAAGTATCCTTGGATAAAGGGGAGTTTAAATTGTTAAAATAAAGGGCCAAGTCCCCTTACAAGGGGAGATATTCAAGAAAAGAAAAAAATAGGGTGGGGTCATTTAAAAATTTTCTCAAGAACCACTGGGCCAAAAATGTTGAAACTTATATGGAAGCATCCTGATATAGTGTAGATTCTAAATTGTTCAAATCATGACCCCTGGGGGTAGGGCGGGGCCACAGTAGGGAATCCAAGTTTTACATTGAAATATATAGGAAAAATCTTTAAAAATCTTCTTCTCAAGAACCACTGGGCCAGAAAAGCTGAAACTTATGTGGAAGCATCCTGGGGTAGTGTAGATTCTAAATTGTTCAAATCATGGCCCCCGGGGGTAGGGTGGGGCCACAGTAGGTATTACATGGGGGGAAATCTGGTAAAGAACAGCATGGCCAAAGTTACTCAGGTGAGCGATGTGGCCCATGGGCCTCTTGTTTTGATTTCGATGAACGGTGTTGCCATTGCTACTGAAAATAAAAAAAAATCTGTAAAATTCCTTTAAAATGCTACTCCTCCTACAGTTTTGGTCTGATTTCAGTATAATTTGGCATACAAGTAGACTACACTAAGATACATAATTTATTGCATCGGTTTTTGATTTCGATGAATGGTGTTGCCATGGTTACTAAAAATAGAAATTTCTGTGAAATTCCTTTAAAATGCTACTCCTCCTACAGTTTTGGTCTGATTTCAATTTAAATTGGCACACATGTTAACTACACTTAGATACATAATTTTGTGCATCGGTTTTTGATTATGATGACTTATGTTGCCATGGTTACTAAAAATAGAAATATTTGTGAAATTACATTAAAACGATACCCCTCGCCCCCCCTTACAGTTTTGATCTGATTTCTATATAATTTGGCATACAAGTAGACTACACTAAGATTCATAATTTAATGCATTGGTTTTTTATTTCAATGAACGATGTTGCCATGGTTACTAGAAATAGAAATTTCTGTGAAATTACTTCAAAAAGCTACTCCTGCTACAGTTTTGGTCTGATTTCAATATAATTTGACATACAAGTAAACTACACTAGGATTCATAATTTAGTGCATCGATATTTGAGTTTTTGATTTCAATGAACTGTGTTTCCATGATTACTAAAAATAAAAAAAATGTATGTGAAATTCCTTGAAAACGCTATTCCTCCTACAGTTTTAGTCTGATTTTAATATAACGTGGCACATGTAGACTTTACTAAGATACATAATTTGATAAATTGGTTTTTTTTTTTTTTATTTTGATGAATGATTTTGCCATGCTTAAAATAGAAATTTCTGTATATTTCCTTTAAAACATTACTCCTGCTAGAATTTTGGTCTGATTTCAATCTAATTTGGCACACAAATAGACTACACTATGATACATAATAGCACATGTATATACCTGTTTTTGATTTCAATGAACGGTGTTGCCATGGTTACTAAAATAGAAATTTCTGTGAAATACTTTAAAAACGTTACTCCTCCTACAGATTTTGTTTGATTTCAATATAACTTGGTACACAAGTAGACTATATTAAGATACATAATTCTATTTATTGCTGCATGTTGCAAAGTTTCAAATCCAAGTGCTACTTTTCCTTTGTTTTATTTTTTTATTTCATATTATTTTATTTTTCTTTTTTCTTTTTATTTATTCATTTGGGGGGGGGGGGGGTAACTTATCGTTACTGGCATGGTGGGGAATTGCAAATCCTGGATCCGTCCCTGCAATTTTTTATTTTTTTTTTTAATTCATTATAATTATTTTTTGGAGGGTATTACCTACATTGTAGTTCTGTTGACTATCGTTACAGGTATGGTTGGAGATTGGAAATCTCACTTCACTGTCGAGCAGTCGGGATATTTCGACTTGTTATACGCCGAGAAAATGAAGGGAATCGACATACCTTTTCAGTATCAGCTTTAGAAAAGTCAAATAAAATAGAATCTTTATTTATATGCAATACACTTGTTCAGTAAAATGCTATTTTGATATTATTCACCTGAATGTAATCTTGTTCTTAAAATATATATGGGAAGAAACGTTTTCAACTTTGTTATCTCGAACATTGACAGTTTTTCACCAGCAGTCCGACATGACCATGAAATTCGACTATAACATAGATTGTTTACGTCGCAATATCTTGGCACGCCATAACAGGACAGAGTCGAAGAATAAAAATCTGTATATAAAATGGTCGAAGTTCAAAAACATTAGAGATTTTGAATATAAGTTGAATACACCTTTGTTGTACATGTAATAGTGTGATGGTTTTTTTTTTTTTTTAAACTGATTTTCTATATAAATATTATTCTTGTATTCTAAGAATTATATATAAATATAAAATTTAAATAAAAGACCTAAATGCGATTGTGCATTGTGACCAATAAATTTTTTCTTTGTAGTTCAGCAGAATATGAAATTCATATTCACACTGAGTTTATTACACGCAGAGATTGTTTAAGTATTTATTTTCTGAGTTCTCGGATACATGTATATAATAGTTTGTGAGCAGAAATTTATGCCTGTTATTGTTAAAGCAAAAAAAAAATGTACAACCCTATCCACGGCCGAATTCTTGGTTCAAGATGTATAAGTAAACTACTTTGAAATGGAAAGTGTCGAAGGAAGAAACGATTTGTGTTCATTGGGTCACAAAATTTTGTTGATCAGACAGACTTGTACTGAAAACAACGTATACGTATACAACAATCTATAATATTATACTTTCATGTAAATTAGTTGAATCTGATTCGTCGAGAAACATCTGTTTGAGAAACACTATTACCCGCTGAATAATGAAGCCACGCCCTCCAGCATAGCAACAGTCCGATATTGCTTGACGACGGGTGATATTCCAAAAAATACAGACTGCGCAGAATTTATGCGCGTAAGGATCACTGTGACATGTATTGGCATTAAACATTCAGTATAATAAAATAAATACCATGTATAGTCGAGTGTAATATTGAAAATTTTCACCCCTCGAAAACCATTGTCAACCTCGGCTGCGCCTCTGTTGACAATAGTTTTCTTGGGGTGAAAATTTTCAATGATACACTCAACTACATGCAGTATTTATATAATACAATCATGCATGTTCGTGCTAGAATTTTTATAGTGTTAAGAGCATGGAAAACATACTTTTGCTACCGTGTATGTATAAAATTTAATAATTGTTACCCATATATACATATTTCATTGACTGATACATATACATGTACATGTATAGAAAAACTCGAACCGATCGTGCGCAAAACATCATCATCATCTGACTCAGGTCTTTTAGGAATCGGTAATAAAAATCCAGCATTAGTATGCATAAAGTCGGCAAACACAGTGCTTAATAAAGCTGTTAATTGCCTGTCTTGTGTCATTAGTCTTTATTTGCTTTTCATGAATAAAACCAGTGAACAAGATTTACCAGAAATCGATATACAGAAACAACACACAAAGATGCTCAAACTCAAGCGCAATGGTGATTAAGAATTGTTGAAAATATTACGAAAATGTGTTTCCGGTTTAGCGATATTGATTAAGCAATTATTTTACGAGCGTGCTTTGACGTTCTGATAAGCTAATGGTTGCTTCATCGGTCATATTTATGGAAGCAAATATTGTTCATTCGGTGACAGAGGAAAAAAATCTTAAATTCAGTCGGCATGCATGTCTCCCTTCATCATGGCGACGGAAGTTGTTTTCAACCAGAAAATTACGGCTTTTAAAAAATCTGGAAAATTACAGGCAAAATTACGCCGATTAAAAGCAGGAAAGAAATTTCTCTGAAAAGACTTCTGTCATGATAAGAGAAATTTATTTTTTCCTTAAATCCATATACCAGAAAAAATCTGTACACAAATCAAATAATTGTTAGTCTGTTCAGAAGTTCGTGATAATCAGCTGTGTATTTTTCTTTTTTCAACTGAGTACATTTAAAGAATGCAAAATTGATAATACTAAGTTATAATTAGAATTTCAGAAACACAAAATACTAATTTTTTTTCAATAAGGTCATGAGATAATGAAACAATACATATGTATTTTATAACATTTATCTTAAATAAACTGGTTGAAATATCAGTTTTAATTAAACAAATTTTCAAGTCCTTTCATGTGACTCATTTGTTATAATGAGCTAATTATGTACATGTATATGCTCGGAGCTCATTACTTCGCAGATTCGATAGTGATGGGAGTTTTCTGCCATAGTTCTGGTATAATAATTTATGCTTGCTTCAACTATTGAGGATTTTTAGATTGTTAGAATACATGTATGTGGCCTTGTGGTTCATTGCAAGTTAAAACGTACGCGTCATTTGAAGATTATGCATTACGTATATACCTACATGTACATGTATATGCAAAAAGCACATGTGGACTCTTTATATACTAAATTGATTTGAAGAGAGAACCTGGAGTGCTTTTGTTTTATAAAAGTAAAACAAAATGGGCAACAGATTCAGACACATACATGTAGCAAGTTAGTGTTTCATAATTTAATTATTATACAAAAATCATCTGCGTTTTGCTACACAGATTGGTGGGAATTTTTAGTGTCTATGTTTATTTTAGTTTGATACATAAACTAGGTTTTCAAGTATTTACATGTACCTATTTCAAAAAAAGGAGAGAGAGAGAGAGAGAGAGAAGTTTAAAGCCTAAAAATGACGATGGGATTTTTTTTTTTAAATACTTATACATGTATACGTGTATTACCTATCTTTTCCTGTTCAAAACTTAACCACCTTTTCTACATTTATGTGTTTAAAATTGTAAAAGTGCAAATATATTAACATCCATATAAATATATTTATAAAGATTCACATGTTATAAATACCAAATTTATTTCCTCAATAATTAGGGAAGCATGGTACGAATACCACTATAAATCAGTATCGTTGAAAGTTAAAAAAAAAAAAAGAAGATATTTAGGCTAAAATTAAAAAAAATATTCATTCTGGTAGCGAGCTCAATCACCTGCCATAAGCTTTGTTTATTTTCAAATTTCCGCCGTGGGTATTTGAATCTGTAAGTTAAAATTTTCTTTTCCTAATTTTGTTAATTTTCAAAGTGAAAAAATATCAAAATGAAATGAATGAATTACTAAAAAAAAAAAAAAGCAAGTGTGACGAGAGCGAAGCTCAATTAATATTCCAACTGGAATATGAGTAGGAGTGGGGGGGGGGGGTTTATTTTATATCTGTTAGTCTTTTGGATTGTTGTACTCTTTGATTGTACATATAGTACCTTATTTCTACAGTTTATTTTTTTTTTAACTTTTTAATTTTTTTTTACTTCTGTAGTTCTATTCTTGTTACCCACACTGTATACGTATCAATTATGAGGAACTAGCACTTGTTACAACCTGTCCAAGTGTAAAAACCATCCTGGTTTTTTTCCTTCTTTCATTCTTTGCGCAATCTATGATTAACGGAAACTGTATGAAGTCTGCATGTGTGCCTTCAAAATCATATACAACTGAGAAAGGGGAAAAATTTTAGTTTTATATAATATTCCGTATTTGAAAATATTGTATGTGTATGAACTCAATGATCCCGATTTGTAGATTTTGTGGAAGTTAGGAAATCATTATCACCCACACAAACTTTTTAAAGAGTTTCCTCGTGAATTCATGTTTGAAAATAGAAATTGACGTGGAAGAGATTTTTTTTACTAAGTTTTTCTTTCTCTCTCTTAGTAGATAGATATATAAGGGAAAATTTCTTGATACTTAGTTATCAGTATTCATTTAGAAACACTTTTATTTCTTAAAGCTATATATGACGTATCTGAGCTAAAAATAAAAAAAAACGAGATTGAATGTAGATGAACATGATATTTGTTATTTACGTTCAAATTAAAATTTTCACCGATTTTGAACATGAATAATCCCACGTTTCTATAGCTAAATTGACTTTAAACTGTGTTTGATATTTAAATGCGGTGTCGGTAAATTAATCGGTTATTGTTCTAAATTTCTAATATTTATGAAACGCGATTGATTTAAATTGTGTAATTTACAGGAAAGTCCTATCTTTATATAAAGTAATAAAGAAAATAGTAAGATCCTTTTAATTTTAGTTTGTCTGAACTTATCAAAAATACGTCATATATGACTTTAATGATCAGGATATATATACCCGGTATTGACATGAATACATTTTACTTATTTTCATTTCAAAATGAGAGGAGGGGGGTATGCATGGTGGAGAGGAAAGGAATGGGGGAAATAAATACCGTGTAAATAATATATTAATACTGTAAATAATGCTCAACATAAATCTATGTTGTTTTATCAATGTCATCTTCACTGAATAGCTCGTATTTTTTGTTAGTTTCTTTCTTTTTCATTACAGTTTTAAAAAGAGTCTCAGATATCGAAGATGTTCTTAAGTGCTGTTCAGTTGTTTTAATTAAGAATATTTGATCAAATTCTAAATTTTTACCCAAAGAAAGTACACAGAACAGCTGTTGGAGACAAGTTTAAACGCATTGTAATATAGAACGTTACTCATAATTTTCCCTCAATTTTGTCATTCTATCTTGCATGTCAGCTTTTCAAAAAGAGCAGTACATGTATACATTCTGCTGTAAGTTTCATATATCCTTTGCCGATCGTTTCATTTTTTTTTTTTAATTTAAACTCAGTCTAAAGTCCGTGTTTTTTACACTTGGACAGGTTGTAACAAGTGCTAGGTCTGCATAATTGATACGTATACCCTGTAGGTAAAAAGATATACCTAGGACATATTGAGGATTTATGTGCAAATTAATCGGCCAACTATTTCGACGAGTTTCTTTGTTGTATTCAAACCCTCGATATTTAAAACGTATACTCATGGAACAAATATGGTTGCACACGAATTCATTGCAGTCATTTAAACATTTCCCATAAGAAATCGACCGATAGATTTATAAGATTCTTATCTTTAGGAATTATATTGCATATAAGCACAAAACACATCAAGAAATTGAGAAAAAGATATTGGAATTAGCTTTTATGACACACCAGGGGAAACTCGTAGTAATGAAGTTTTGGGGCTTCATGAGATGTTTGAGTCATTCAGAGACGTAATTTGTTCGTCGAGATTTAGAAGAAAATGGAAAATATACCATATCTTAAAAAGGGCCTGAAACTGGTTGATCTTATAATAAGAATTTATGAATAGACTAATTATATTTAAGACATGTACATTAATTAACTAATTAATAATAATTATGAAAAGATATCATGTTTTAATTTTCCATGAATTGGCATGCGGTTTTCAGGACATTCGAGCGGGTGGAAGATTGCTTTAATATATGTAAAATTTAAAATCCTAAGGTTAAATTTATTTTTGAAGAATGACCAGGTAAGGAAAACATTTGTTATCGCAGATAAGTATTATTTTAGGAAATTCAGTCCACAATTTAAACTGAAATAAAATTAAATTTAGTCATTGTGTCAACACGCCCCCCTCGGTTGAAATATTTACTGAAGTCTATATACGAATGTGTGTCCCGATCAAGTCAAATCCATTTTGGGCACTTAAAAGTCTTAAGAAATTAGATCACAGTTCTTAAGCCCCTAATCAGCTTTCCTACAGAACCGAAACCCCTTTTGTCAAATTTTTAAAGCAAATAACGTGGTTATTGATAAGATATATAGGTAAAGAAAAGAAAACCTGTACTTTGCATTTTCGTTCTTTTGAAATAGATATACGATGTTTATTCATGTATAAAAATCGTATTGTAACCGCCTTTTTTTTTTTTTTTTTTTTTAGATATGTGTAATCATATCGGCAATAGATTTTACGCCTGCGATTTTTCATTATAAATCGATTGATTTAATCTTTAAACAATATCCGCGTACATTTAAATCAGGGGAAAAGCATATCCTTTTTTCAGTACCCCTTTTCTCTTAAAAGCTTGCATGCGTATAGGATTGAGTATAAATTTGACAGAGAAAATCTATTGGATAAACAGACAACCACGTGTGTATTGCTTTTAATAACGGCATACACAATAACACGGGGACTCAATGAGCCATCCTTATCAAGAGTGTGCGCGTACATATATTGACTGTGTACACATCTATACATTTTTAAAGTTTTAAATCACGCAACGAGAGATTTATGTCAGACCTATCGGGAGCGTGAAGTCTGTATTTACCGTGCAGTAGAGTTGGTCGCCCGTTATTTACTTCCGTGGAAATCGGTTTTCCTCGCTATCCAACAAACACATGTAATTGATTCAAACGCTGGTTTCGCTAATAGAGACCGGGCGTATAGAACCGCGCTGAGGAAAAAATGTCAGAGGATATCAAAAATATGTCGGATGATCAAGAACCAGAAAGTTACGATGTGTTACTAAGGAACGGAGTGAAACCAAATGACTTCTACAATAACGGAAAGTCAAAGATGGACTGTCCAAACTTTAAGATGGAATTGTTACAGAGTGAATACATAAGAATCAGACGATATCTATACGGATTAACGGCGGTCGTTGTGACTGGGATTTTGATACTAATTGTAGTGGTAGCTGTTTTATTTGGGAAATTAAGTCATGACTTGGTCAATCATGAACACAAACCAAAAGTAGGGGAACAGATCTCGGCGATGCAGAAAGAAAATGAACTATGTGTTCCATGTGCCAGCATTAGGTCAGGTCCAAGTGTTGAAGAAAACAAAGTTTTGGACGAATTTGCCAGAAAGTACGAAGAAAACATTGAAATGTGCTGTGTTGAAACTCCGTCAGAGCTTCTGCTTATGTTAGAATTGGTAGGTATTTGACAACTCTTTCTCTCTCTCTCTCCCTCTCTCTCTTGTTTAATTGTATACACAAAAAGTCACAAATATCATTTTTGTTTCGGAAGTACTTCACAAAGGCAGAAACTTGAGAGAGAAAAGATAAGTGTATATACTTGAATTCCACTTCAGTTTGTAATTATCCAGACGTCTTGTGAAATCTTTAACATGAGTGGATTAAATTGCCTTGTAGAGTCTTTTTTGTAATTCTAATTCAAGTTTCTGAAACCTCAGCTGTACATTCTAAAACAATAAATCATTTTGTTATAAGTTTCCTAAACATGAAATCAAAAATTAAGACAGAAAAAAGTGTGTATTTGACATTAGCATAAACAAATCCTGCTGATATATTTCATGTAATTTTCTTAAATGTAAACAACTAAAGTTCGCAGTCTGCAAATTTTTTTCACAAGCAATGATGTTAAAAATGTTAAAAATTATTGTGCAAGACATTAAGTATCATTAAGTTTGTTTTAAAACACTAAGCTCTAACCATTCTAATCCCTTTTCCCTCAGTCTAAAATTGTTTTTTAAATGACAATAAAATTATTGACAGCTGTAGGCAAAAATTTTAGCTGTTTGTTCAAATGTTTTTTTTTTCCCTCCTATTTCATGGGATATGACTCTCTATTGATTTTTTTTTTACAGGTATATACAAAACTTAAAGTAAAGCTTTATAGTTTGTATGATTTCAATCTATATTTGTTGCAGATAATCATATTGCACAGGTTTCATATAACGAATGATTATTACAAAGATAATGATACGAGTTCGAACTGAAAACGGAACAAAAAAAATCTGCTCTCCACAGCGGTGATCTGAGTTGCTGTAATTTGTTTCCGAGTCTGGAACAGACAGGAATGAATGATGAGATTATTTTCTAGCTTATTGAGATATGAAGTATAATTGAGTATAAAATACATATTTCGTGAACACTCATCTTCCCGTTGACGCCCAGTTTCTGTCGTTATGACTCGGATGCATTCGGAGTCCCTCAGGGTTGGGTCGTTGATCGCACTTTGATCGTTAAGTTTTATAACACACTTTTTGTTTTCTTTTGGCTAATGGGTTCAAAGTCAAAATAATAAAAAATCAAATTAACATAGGTAAAACAAATCTATAGATCATATTTTTTTTCTACGAATCGTAATTTTCTTCCGTAATAATGAAAGACTTGGTGATGAGTTCTCCTTATGGAAAGATTATGGGGGTATTTGGATAATGAAATTGGACATTATACTTAATCACGTGTGATTTATGAAAAACCCTCCTCATTAAGCATAAACAAACACTGACAGTGAACGAATGGCGAGCTCTTTTCGTCAATACGGACAGACTTCATTATTTTCGCGGGTGTTGACAGCCTAGTTCGTTAGGGATTGATCGGGTCGTCATTGTAATCAATCGCACCCTATTCATTCTGAGCGTCGGACAATAGGAGGGATCGAACATGCTTTAATGGTGTAGTAAGGCAGTGATTGTAAATCTAATACTGCATCTGATAAATCTATAATAAATTGTTACGATTTTGTCAAACAGATGCATAGAGCACAGTTTTTTTTTTCTTCCAGTCGGAACATTTATTTTCAATCCAGGAAGCATTTTTTTTTAACAAAAGTTGAAGCATCAGCTTGCTTACAGATGTAATAATTTAGAATGTATGAAATACATATAGATATAATTTAGTTCTGAAAAATATAACAAAATACCGTGTTTTCTTGCCCCTTATATTAGTTAAACTATAGCCAGTCACGAGAATATCTCTAATACAAGACGAGCGTATAGCATGTGTTCTCAATAAACATGATAAACCGTAACGGTTATATCTTTGGATGAAATTTTCCTTTGTTCTGTAGATCTAGTAGTACTGTATATGCGTTCTCAATGCTCAATACTAATTCTGGTATCCATTAATTGTAGAAAAATAGAAAAGTGCTGTTTAGCGGACCTTTGACCCGTTGTCTTGTTATTTCCTGTCAAACCTCATTGTCTCGGAATCAATACAAAGATATAGCAACACGTCTCCTATTTCGAGAAAGGATTCTCATTTAAACAACTTTATCGTCTTGACAACGGGAACGTGTCTCCATGATATTCATGTTTATGAATTGTACTTCGTATTATACTTTCCTGAAATATCTCTTAATTTCCCACTGTTTTTGATAAGAACGGTCTGTTTAGTTAAAAAAAATCAACATTTTCGGTATTTCGGTAAATTGATAATCTTTTTTATCCATGATTCTGAAGTATAATAATAAATATGTTATAGTTTATAACATATGTTGCAGAAATGTATTAATAATAAACATTTCCTGTATCCAGACAGCGTCGATTACATATTCCTGATTAACACGTGTTGTTTTGCATATCTTTCAAATATGTTGCAGATTATCAAGGTGCGAAGAAGGAAATTCGGTCCAGGAAAGCGAACTCCAAACATTCAAACCTTTCATGCGCTCGATTAATTTTTGAAGATTAATATTTCTAGAAAAAGTATATCTGTTAAAGATTACAACTTATCGCAAACGTATCGTCAATAGATATGTAGTTTAATCCGCAATAATAGGGTTTTCCCTACCTAAATCCAATATAAGATTTATCTCTCTCCCCGACTGTCAAATACTCGTGGGTAATATCGGATAAAAGTGGCGTACTGCTGTGAATTAACACTCCATGGTGGCTAAGAAAACCAAAACTTTGATATGCGTGTCATATTTCTACATATATACGTAATCACGACTTAATTATTGTTTAACGGTATCTTATTGTTTAATGTTACCCGAGTTAAAGGGACTTTTATAAGGATGGGTTCGAGAATCGAGATATTTACAAATTCTTTAATCTTCTATTTCAAACTGTGATCACATATAGACAAAAAATGTGGAAATATGACTAATAGCTTTAAATAATAATAGATATGGTAATCCAATGCAATAATTAATCGTGTCGGTTTTATTATCCATGTATGGATAAACGACAAAATTGTTATCATTACGTATACCAAGGGACGAAATATTACATGAACCATATGATTGATCAGATATTATTCATTAATCCGAAGGATTACAGAGATTAACTCGTTGTCATTTCTAAATAGAAATTATATAATGTTAATTGAAGAAAAAATCTAAAGTCTTTCTGAAGAGTCAGGGAAAAAAATAAAAAGAGAAATTTTCTTTAGTTATATATTTTTTAAATCACAGAGGAGAAATCATCATAGGGCAGAAATTCCCATGAAGCTTTTATTTTTAAAAAACCTTTTATTATCCTAGCACTTTTATTTGCATTTAACTGTCATGTGTCGAAATCAATGGACACAAAAAAGCTAGAGCGTGCCATTTCCTACAAATTGCAAGATAATACAAGCATCTGTTTGTTCCGATAAAAGACGCGAGAGAATACACAATTTTATATCTTCGGTCCCAAACAAAATTAGGTACCAGATTTCCCAGACTAGACCGTTGTTCCCGCAACCATATTTGTATGCTCTAGATATGAATAAAAAGAGAAATGTCTCTATTTTATAGCGCCCCTTTGTTTTGCATACAAAAGCAATTGCTTTATTTAATTTTGCTTCCTCCTTACATTTATTCCGATATTCCACACAATTCGAGATTCAGGGACCAACTTAAATCAAATCTAACCACCTGGATAGCTCCTAGTCGTTAGGGATAAGAGTGTGTTTATCTTTAAGCTCACTGCTATGTCAAAATTGTTTAAATTTCCGTATATATTTTACAGCCGTATGCTCAGTATCAAACCTGTGTCTGCCTGGAAGTAGAAAATGATGTTTCTATCAATGGTTCATTTGACTTTTATATATTTTCCATATTTACCCCTAACTATGGGGCTACTGTTAAAATGAAATACATATTGTAGCTAATTCCTTGTGACATTTGTTCCCCTGTGCCCCAAACTCAGACGTCAAAATCTCTGCAGGAAAATTGAATAGTCGGATGTTTTTGGATTATGACCCAGCAATTCAATTTCCAGAGATTTTGTCTTTGGTTTCACGTTAGAATGAGTTGTCCTAATGGAATTTTTCTGGCAGTTTGGTTAAATATGTTGCTCAGTTTGAAAGGATTAGAAATAAAGTTACGGAATTGAATTAGATTGTATCCTTCACTTATAACAATATTAATGATATCGCTAAAACTCACTGCTTATACGTTAAATAATGCCCTCAGGAAAAGAGGGGGAAAATGTTTAATGTACTTTTATCAAAATGCAATAATACAAATAATGATTTTAACCACATAATGATTTTCACTTTAAATGTTTTTCTAAGTTTGATAACATTGGGGGGGGGGGGGGGGTTAAAAATATGAATTTTCACTTCTAAAATAGAAGTGATAATATTTTTTAGTCATGTTAAAAATACTTATTGACTCGCTTCTCAATTAAGAACCACCTTTAGGAGAGAAGAGTTTTTCTTTCCTCAGAGTGCACCAAAGAGCAACAAGTGACTTCTCTACATCAATTGTTTTCTTTTCCATTTAATCTGACGGGTCTTACATAACTCTTGAAGGAAGAAGTAGTAACTCAGCCATTCTTTTCCTTCCCCTAAGCACTCTGTCATATGGTTTTCATTCTTATGGCATCTATTTCTTTGGGTTTATGCACATGTAAAGTTTTGACATCTATCTTGTCATAATTATATAGCAAACACCCAAGGTCATAACAATAGGGAGGATGAATTTAGCTTGCGCTTTCAGAAGGAACCCAAATTAACCCCAATTCGTCGATATTTCCGTGAATTCTGTTTATTGCTTTAATTAATTGTAGAATTTTTTTTTCTCCTCACGATAATTAATGAAGAGATCAATAGAATGGTGCATGTAAAAATAAGTTACTTAATTAAGGGAATTTTTCCAGACTTAATTACTAATAAAACGATGTCTAGGGAGTATGTTCTTTAAATAAGAAGATTTGGGAAAGAGTTTGTTATAAATATATATACAATATGATTAAATTATATTATAGAGCATGTTGATAGTTGAGATACTAAGAAAAAAAAGTGCTTGTTGTAAATGTAAAATTGCTGTAAAAAATGTAATTTAAAAGAGGGGGGGGGGCAAATTATTCGATACATTACTGGTGTGCCTCCTTGCCTTTGTTTGGAACCAACACCTTTCAGTTTGAAGAACCCAACATAACATGTATTGCAGAGATTTGGCATGGCTGTTTTATCGATTCTGTTAAATAGACTTACATTTTCTTCCTAAACCCCTTGAGTGAAACATAAAAGCATTGTATTGATTTTTGACTTATCTTCAAACGACTCTGGAAATCAGCGTCGACATGGCGTTTAATGAATCGCCGTGAATGATTGTCGTAAAAGCTGACGTTCGACGGATGACTTCCGTTAATTATCAGAACAAGACGTCACTTATACGTACATTTGTCTGATTTTTGTCAATTAAAAAGGGGATGGTAAATTTAGAGTAATTCTTAGCAATAACTTTCCGAGTTTATTTTTTTAAATTGTTTCAATCTCGCACATTATACATACATGTAAGTATTATCTTAATATGCGTTTAAATGTGATGGCAATTTCGCATTTGGAACACTTTTTGGAGGATTTTTTCCCTCATTCCACTGGTTAAGTTACAATTGTTCAAAGCTTGCTCGCTGAGAGAAATTTATTTATTTATTTATATTTTGTGCCCAGAATTTACGATGATTAGGACTAAAGGTCATATTTGCACGGCAAAAATAAAGCGAAGCTGCACAGAACAAAATTCAATTTTCCGTGATGTAAGTCATGAAAAATATCTATATGTGATATAAAATTGAGTGATTTTGTTTCATTTTTTGTAGTTCATTGAAAAAAGATACAGAGAAGAATCGGCAAAAGGTAAGCATGACAATTTGTAATCTTGCTAAAGATTCACTTAACTATATTCCACAAAAAAAGATTTCATTAGAACTTCAATAACATTGAGTCGATAGTTCTTTATATAAGTGACTTTTATATTACTTCTCGCTGTATAGCCACAAGAACGGCCGAGTGCTTTCAGTGCTATGATTATGTGTTATTGCTTAGCCCTGTCACGCTCCCTCCAAATCAATATTTATACGACACAAAATTAGATGCTTCATATTGTTGCCCAAACCACTTGCTTAACGGCGTCCTTTGATGGAAAAGCAGTCCAAATTAGATTGTGTTTAATTAAGCCTGGTATTTTATAAATGTCGTTACGTTAGATGAAGGATCCGGGATTTATGACTCCTCTTTGAGCAGGCTTCGTCGTTTAGCTTTTTGCTCTCTGGAATGTAGAAGCTGTTGACAGCATCAAATGATGCTTGCTAAGATCGTTCACGGAAGCAACCAAAAACCGCCATTGATTTCCATTAATGCTGTTTAAAACTAGTTTCCTTGATTCATTTACAAAGACATCCATCGATTTAATGTTTCTGAATTTTTCCCATGTTTTTACATTCTTCTTTTCCCCCTTCTTGTTGTATGGTGATGTTTCATTAGAAACAAGATCTAACGATTTTAAATTACTATCATTTGTTTTTAGAAATAATGGAAATCAATCGAGTGCATCTCTCGAACTGAGTCTTTAGATATCTTTGAAATGCTTAACTTTTGGGATAAGAATACATTAAGGTAATAGTTCCGGTGCTATTAATGTTGCCTGGGAAACAAACAATTAAACAAGAAATTTAATTACTTCAACAAACAAGGAGACTGGATTTAAATCTTTTAAGTAAATTTTAATGTCATCTTTGCATTTTGAATCGCGGACGTAATGGTCATGGTAAACTAAAGGATGACACTTATTTTATTTAATTTGAGGGGACTCTTGCTTATGACGGAGTGGACCAGTTGAGTATAGAATTAAATGCAAATGTTTATTAAAGGCGCCATAAGAAAATTGAAAACAAATTCACGCAACATCAAATGTGCATATGTACATCTACATGTATGAAATTATACATACAAAAAATAAGAAAAATAAAAAATACAATTTTGTTTTGTAAATGGTTAATTTTCCACGTGGAGGTTATTAATTCAAAATTTATTAAAGAACAGGATAAAACAGTGAAACCAGAGCAAATTCTAGGAGCAAGTAGATACGATTAAAAAATAATTAAGCAGTTAAAGTATTTTTGTAAAACGTTTAACTGAATGTCACAGGGTTCAAATGTGCAACACAATTTGGGATAATTCAAAGTCAGCCGTTTATCTTCTGAATTAACAAACATTCCCAAGCTGATTGTAGGAAATACTTGAAAGATCGCCAGACCACTTTCCATCAGATTTAAAAAAGCAAATATATCTCTCATTTTGAAATGGTTAAATTTGTTTAATTATGGTTCGGAAAGATAAGTTTAAAGTCATTGAGTTTGAAGAATCAATACGTCGTTCACGGTTCATTGGTTTTAAGTGTTGACACAGGGTTTTACATTTATTTATTATTTTTTCAAGGCCCTGTGTTCTATATGGAGTTGAGACGATTTTTAAATTCTCGAATTCTAACTCTTAACAATAGATAGATTGCACTCCTTTGAAAATCGCGGAAGCCATTACAGATCGCAAACAGTTTATTTATACCCATCTCTAAAACACAAACGGCGTTGAAAATACTCCCTTAGAACTAAACCCATTTGAAACCAATAAATAAATCTTTTGAGAGGGCATAAATATTCAATAAAGGCTTTGTCATCTTGATTCAAACGTCAAGACGTGTCTTCAAGAGCAAACACAATGGGATCAAAGTCATGAGTGTGAATGTGTTACTAAGTTGAAAAGTTGAATTGTAGGTAAAATATGTAAACTCTTAACTGGTACCCGAGACCTTCCTTCTTTCCATTTTACCATCCTAAAAAAATAAACTTTAATCTTTTTTCATATACACATGTACGCGTAATATCTACTTTAAAGTATGTTTTTCAGTAACTGAAAGTTATAACATTATAAAGTTTAAGTTTTTATAATGTTACAATGTTTCAGAATTTGTTTTGATTGATCATAATGGCTTGTTATGAAAGTTGAAACTTTGATCTTGAAATATACTTTGACTAAGGTTTGATTTATTTATTTATGGGAGGGGATTGGTTCCTATCGAATGCCTCAGTACTAATTTACATAAATCAAAGATCTTAATATAATCGTGTGATTTGACAAAGAACAGGTATCAATTAAATATTTTATTTAAAAACAAGTGAATCTTTTACACTAAATCAACCCTGGAAAAAAGTTGTATTTTTTAAACCGGTAGAGAATTTAATAAGATTTTGGATTAGTTTCATGCAGAGTACACTAACGAAACACCGTGACGTCATTGACATTCGAAGAAAAAAAATACACGTATGTATATTACACAAAACACAAACATCCATATCCCACAAAACTCAGTAATCTGAAAGGGATAAGAGTTGTTGCTTATATGAAAGTCGGGAAAGAATGTTGTGATTAAAAATAAAGAGATTTATTTTGAAATGAAGATATGTATGAATTAATGACAAAATGACACTCTTAAAAGCACCTCGTCAACTTATTTCTGCCAGAATTGCCCACGTGCATGCATGTCAGTCACATACAATTTAGGATTGAATGAATTTTATATCAGCTTTGATTCACTTTTTCATAGCTGCTCCATGGTGAAAATATGTTATATTTTGTTCACTGAGATATTTTTTTACAACATGAATGGCAGTACCCACATTATGGCATTTTAAGCAGTGAAGAATTTATCGCATTTTGCTATTTTTTTAACATTAAAAATAATTCTATAACTTACGATTCAAATTAGTGTCGTGCAGAATAATAAATTGATATAAAATTTGATGTATTATTAACTTTCAACAGGACAAAATGAATTTTTACTATCCGATAAACCGAGAAAAAAATCTGTTATATTTTACTGATGATAGAACTGCGATAACCTTTAAAGACCTACATGTAGTCGTTTACTCTATACATGAACATGTCTATTTCGGTGACTATTACTGCATAGTGTTTAAAGAGGCTGGGGGGTTGTGGCCATTTTTAGACTATATTGAAGAGCTCCATATGAAGATATAGAAAATAATCAAATTTTAAAACTAAAATTTTTAAAATTTTTCTTTGCCAAATGATAGTTGACAGCTTAAGATATCATATCTAAAAAATTAAGTTAAATCTGGTGGTTAATTTGTGGTTAATTTGTTGACCCCCCAGCCTCCTTAAGTCTATGTGGGCACGAGAAATAATTAAAATGAAAGTAAGAAATATAACCTAGGCTTTGCCCTTTATGCGAATCACCATGTAATCCAGTGCATACACGTTTATACCCTTATAAACCCCAAAATCTATACGGTAATTTCTTGATTGATATGTTTAATCTAAAAGACATAGTCGTGAATATGTACCTCAGAAGTAGGCTTCTCTTTCAATATAATGACCATCTGTTTTCTGTATAGGAAACACACTAAAGAAAACAACACTCTATCCTAACAGTGTACTTTTACAAACGCAGAAAATATATAAAAAATGAACACAACCGAACGCTACTTAAAAGCAAAAATAAAGTAAATCGGACGGTTTCTCAAGCATTTTTTTTAATTCGCCGTCAATAGCCGTTTCTAAAAATTTTGTGTAAAAATAAATAGAAAATGCACAGTTATGTAATGGCTAGACACAAATTATGATGTATGGTGTAAATATCACATTGATAAGGAGTGGATTCAGTTATAAATTGATCAAAATAAAAAAAAAAATAAGCAGTGCATTCTTATTATTTGTAACAGTTTTGTATGAAGATATGAAAATTTAGTAAACATTTGACGCTAATCGCTATTTCAGTAAGTGGTAAAAAATCATTAGAGTGCACATTTTCTGAGAGTTCATCAGCCCTGAAATTCGATAAATAGTGCAAGCATCCTCATCTTTTGCAGTGGACTTGCTCTGTTTACAACTGGTGGGTCATTGCTTTATCAACAAGTGTTTCTAGTTTTCCGTTCTGTTGAAAACGACACGTGTTCTATTCATGTGAATATTCCTTGTCGTTTCTTGGCATTTACCGTTTCTTGTATAAATTAATTATTATATTTAGATGAGTTATTTCCCTTCTGTGTATAAGTCTATATAATATATATATATAAAGTTTCATTGAGGATCAATTACATTTGACATGCTGTGAGTTTACAGAGAAAAACAACAACAGCTAAACGAGCACTGTATTATTACATTTCTCTGGATCATTTCTAGTTTTACACACATCACCATGGAACTGCAATTTTCTCCAGGACATCAATAAGAGAATAGCATGTGAATTTGTATTACTTTATTTCCTTTAAAATATAGGAAAAAGATGGTATCGGATACATTGGTAATCTGATCTTAGAAACATCTGTGTCACGAATTTCGTGCATCGGAAGTAAGAAATGCACCATATAATGATTGTAAAATTAATTACCAAGACAAAACGTTAACGAATCTGAAATGTATCGGTAATGTAATAGATCGTATAAAAAACTTGATATGTCTGTTCTTTTTATCCGACGTATGACTTAAAACAGCCGCTGAAGAGAAAAAAATCATCTGGCATTTAAGCACTTCTTTCTGTGCGGAGTAAATTAGGCATGCACTGCGTAAAGAGGATCTTTTTATGACATTCAGATTTTTATTGGAAGAAGTGCAGAACCTCACACCTAGACCTTGTGTAACGTCAGCTTTATTTCACACCCTTGTCAAAAAGTAACTGTTTGACAGTTATGAAAACCACCAGAGATTGTTTACTAAAACATATCCATTCATGTTATTATATTATGATTTTCAAAAGTAAATAACATCTGCAATGCATATGTGTACCGTTTCACCAGGAGGCGTTATATTTTGGACCAGAGTCAAAGTCTCATAGGACAAAGAGCTAGAGACAGGGGCACTAATTACATTAAACTTTACACCGTTAAATGATGAGTTTTTGCCCACGGACAGGGTTTAAATGATCGTTGGATGTGATAAAAAGTAATCGATACGAAATATGACTCGTCTGAATACAGCTATGATTTTTTTTCGATTTTTAATACATATTATGACATTTATTGCATAAACAAGCATAACCAAAAAAGGCATATTTGCTGAAAACGAGAGAGAGAGAGAGAGAGATATTAAATTCCAAATTTTTATTTGCCTGAGATATTTTTTTTTAATTTATTGTGATGCTCTTTCGAAAGCTTACAATATCGATGGATTTGTGTATCATTTATCCTGACTGCTAAATTGAAATCGACTAACAATACGGACTCTAGTGTTAATCACAGGGTGTTGACTTTAATAAAAGATCATAGCAATGTTCTCAGCAAAAACTCAGAATTTCGATTAAAATATCATTACGTTTATTGCACATCCATATAGGACTATTCATGCCTTATTTCTAAGGCACGCGCCGGGACCCGCTATTATGTTGTTTAGATGAAGAATGATATGAAATCAATGAGGGAGGTTAATGCACAGCGTACAATACACATTTCAAATCAACATTCACATCTTTTCATTGGATCACTTATATCTTTAGGGCCTGACTTAAAATGCTTTTAAAATCTTAAAAAGTCTTAAAAATTAAACGAACGCTAGAACGTTGACATGGACCGGAAATTATTTACTTCTGACACTTAGTCAATTATCTTTGCCGAACAACGTATACATGTATATATAATACAAGCTTAGCTTCAAATAATGCATTTCTGGAGTGTCATGAAAAATATAGAAATTTTATGAAACCCTGCCCTTTTCTTAATGTCCTTAAATTTTTCAGCTTTCTAGTTTTATTTAAATACAAGTTTGTAAAAGTTTGTAATGAACTTGTCAAATTCATATAATTAAAAATGTTATAAAGTTGATTTTCTTAAAAAAATCAGATGTACATTTTTTGAATAATTTTCTTTGCTCTAAAGGTAATGTTCCTCGCACTGGTGAATTGGTATCCTTTGAGGGTCAACAGACGGCAGCGCACCTGCTAGGCTCTCAAGAAAGACTAGACGAAGACATCGGTATGTATTAATAGAATAAGAATATATAAATGGCGCCAAAAAGTACTTCTATCTGGGAGTATAGGCAAAAATCTTGCAATCTAATGTATTTCTTTCTTGTTTAGGTCCAGGCACGCGGTTTTCCGTACCACACTGGATATACGACAAGGACATTGCATTCCTCAGTAACGTGAAATATCGCCACGGAAGACTAGTGGTGCCCTCTGACGGGTATTATTACGTCTACAGCCAGGTGTCGTTCGTAGAGCTATATTCCGGAAGTAACCCTGCCACCCAATCATCCTCCATATCCCATTATTTGTGTCGCTATAACATAATCTATCCTAACGGAGGAGAGGAAATTCTGGCTAAAAATGCCGTCAGCAAAGCATCTAACAGCAAAGTTGTCGGAGAATACAGCAGCCATCTTGGAGCGTTGTTTAAATTGCGGAAAGACGACGAAGTGTATGTTAAAGTCTCGGATTTATCTCTTATGGTTCGAGATGTTAGGAGAAACTACTTTGGTATCTTTAAGTTGTCTAATATCACACAAAACGATTAACTACAGTGCAGGCAAATCCACATTTCAGCGTTTGTCATTCTTCATAAATGCCTTCATTCAATTAATATAATTATATAAATACATGATTTATGAAAGTGATTGCTTTTTGAACATTATTATAGTAGCAACAATATCAAAGTTGTTAGGAACGAAACAGACAAAAATGCTTATTAATTGTATAGATGTAATTAGTTTGGAGATACAGTTTAAAAGCAAGGATCTAGAATAAGAGAAAAATCTCATTTTCAGTTTTGTAATTCATCGATTTTTGCCCAACTGGAGCTTACTAAGAAATGTGTTCCAAATTGCATATTGCAATAACCAGTGTGTCGATTGTCAATCGTAATGTAATATATTGTGATTTGAAAAATAGCAAGTACATGTACATGTATATTTGTTGATCGGATTGAGCAAGCTAGAGAGAGAGAGAGAGTGAGAGTGAGAGAGATTTTAAGACATTAATCGTTGCAAGTTAGTGCAGGCATGTAAGGTGAAAGGGGAGGGGGGGGGGGCAGTGTGCTTGGATCTGTTTGAAAGGTATATTGGAGAAATTTATGTAATTTGTTCCCAATTTGTTCTCGGTGATCGTAACTTGTTTGTTTGAGTTTTTACCCTGAGTGATAACTTGCTTATGCGTAAAACTGCCGATATAGTTAGCTAAAGGAGTTTTTCCATTATGTTCTTTGATTTCAAGAGATTTTGCAATAATAAGTATTAAAAAGTCAAATAAAACTATAGATAGGTTTTGTTTAGTAGATAATATAAGTATTAAATTAGGAGTACAATGTAGTTATTTCAACCAAGAAAATATATATACATGTATATTGTTTGCGATAACAGGTTTTTGGCATTATTCTATCAATATAAGTAATATTGAATGCTTGTCAATTATACGTGTTTGTGGATTAGAGGGTTTTGACTTTTTGTCAAACGTAGAAATTTATTTTTCTTTTGTTCCTGACTTGAGAAGCCAGTTTTTATTTTAAAAATAGTTTTGTTCCTGATGTAGTGATTAATGTATTTTTGTATTGAAATTGACGCAATGTCAAAGAAATAAAAGAAAATTTCTAAGTGCGAGTTTATTTTACTTTGGAAGCGCCTCATCCTCACAACGTCAGGGGTCCCGAGTCCACTCAGAGGTCCCGAGCCCACTCAGGGGTCCCGAGTCTACTCGGGCCATTGGTTCAACGACCAGGAGTGAACTCAAGGACCCTTGACGTTGTGAGGATCGAAGCACTTGTTCAGTCACAGATCTTTCAAAAGTGGGTGAAGGTGGAATGAGGGGAGCTGGTCAATGAGAATGACCCAACCCCTTTTTATATCCAATTAATATAGAAGTGTTTCAGAATAATTGCTATGACAATCTACTCTAATATGCGGGTATAAAACATATCAAACTGCTGTCAACGTCTTTCATATAATACTAGAAATCAATATTTCTAATATATACGCTTTATGGATATCAATTATTTTTAATTCTTAATGCACTCACTAACCTGAAAATGATATACATGTATTTGATTTTTTTAAAGGGGGCGGGAAAATACAAATTTGGCGCCACAAAAACACCCACTAAATCCGTTTAGTTTTACAGTTGCTTTATTGATATTTAGTCATCAAAGTCTAACACATAACATATCAAATACTTCTTGCTATATATTATTTATATATCAATCAACAGCCTTGGTTTTAACATTTATATATCCTTCTTTTGTCCGCCTGCAGAATCAGTGCCATGTTGTATACAAAGGACATCAAAGGAAGTTGGAATTATGCGATAAAACATTTAATTAAAGATAATGATGGATCAAAGATAAGGTGTGTAGTTTTTATCGACTCTTCATTATAAAATATCTGCACAGGTTGCACCTGCTTCGTTAAATCTGCAGATCATGTTTATATCAATGAAGAGCTGTTTCTTCTGTATGAAACCTTGTGCACAGATTTCTGCTTCATAAACTTTGATAGCTGTAAGAAGTGAACCAGTTGTGCCCCAATATATTACTTATGGACACCACAATCACCCCTCTCCATGGGGGAAGAAAAGGGATTATGGTAAATACAAACTCACAATTGTCCTTATATCCACTTGGGGGTCATGGTGGTTCTAAATTTCCTGAGGTCAAGGCACTTTCAGTTCCTATCATATTTCCAATATCAAGGGTATTCTAGACCTTTAAATGTGGGTGGCAACAGGAAGGAACTCCTCTTTAAATTTCCCATATTTTCTTCCCGTTTTGTCCTCTTTCTACCTAGGTCTCTTACTTTCACTCCCCCCCCCCCCCTTCCTTTTTATCTTACATGTTCCTAGTAAAGAAGATGGGCGAACAAGGCGAGCAAAGTGCCTACTGTGTGACAGACAAAAAAGTGTAAAATTTTCTTTGATATTCCATTTTTACATATCAAATGTATTCTTTATGTAGAATCTCCACAATTGCAACAATCTTACAAAGATTGAAAATATTCGTCTATGAAATAGCATATACACACCAAAGACAGCAAAAATGATCAATTTTTCATACTTTATCACAATTTTTTCCATATGAGTGGGTCTTCGTTCCATTTTTCAAAAAGATTGCACTCAAAGTATGCGTAAAACTATTCATATTTTCGGTTTACAAAAACATCGAACAAAGACCCACAATACCTACAAATAGACATTCGTATCTTTCCGAGAAATATTTGAAGTCCATTTAGCCAAGGGTCATTTCACAAATGTGATTTAATTTGGCATGAACTGTGTTGTGTAGTAGTTGGCGTGTTAGTCTCGAAGAAAAAAAAAAGTGACACTCAGGATTTTTATTCTCAGGTTCGAACGGTCGAACCACAAGATAATCACATATTTTTTTTAAATCATAGAATGATTTTTACTGACAGATTTTTCCGTAGAAATGTTTTGTTTGTCATAATTTCATACCTTTCAATAATAAGAACCTTACTCTAAATATTAAATTTACAAATTGAATATGACTTTTATATGTTTGAAGCTATAGGCATTTTGCATGCTTTGTTCGCCCATCTCCTTTGTTTTGAATAAGCTATATATTTCATTAAGACAATCTTTATATTCTAGATGTCAAAATATAAGGTATTACAATGCTGTTGTTCAGTATGTTCAGTGATATGATTTTATGCACCAAAACTTTTTATCGCGACGGAAAGGTAGCGTTTTAGTCCAGGAGTAAAGAGAGACATCTTTCAGTTTCTTTTACATACAAAATTTGTAAATTATAAAATCTGATTGAATTAAATTAAGAAATAAGGTGTGTCTAAAACCAGTGTGTATTTGATGGAATGATTTTACCATATTGTTATAAAAAAAATAAAGACTATTTTTTCCACAAGAACTGTGATCTTTAAAATGTAGTCAAGAAATACCGGTATTAACAAACAAAAACTTCAAAAGCTTCCATCCTCTGTGAATAGACTAGATGACTCCTTAATTACGTTTTAAACATCAAACAAATATATTTTCATGTAAATTCTTAAAACACATGATTGATTTTCGATGAGCAGGGAACGCGTTTGTCGAAGACAAGCAAAAATGATAATAGCCCCGTGTGCATGCATGTACGCCATTATTCTCAGAACGTCATGTGACCAAATGTCGAAAACAGATTGTAGGAAGGCATACGGTACTAATTTTATCAAGCTCCGCGCTGTGTCTGTTGTTAATTAGTTTTCAGTAAGTACTCTCCGTATCGTAGATATGTATATATCATTCACAATCAATGTCTATGAAAATAAGATGGGTCTACGGACAAATCGACGACAATTGTCTAGACCAAGGTACATTCCAGGGATTAATAGGTTTTTCGTCAAAATGATTTTTATGTAAGTGTATTTCACTAATTAACGATTTCCAATTTGCAGTGAGTACGAATAGTGGCGTAGCAATTAAAATCTATTAATTAGTGAAATACTGTAACATAATTAAGGTTCTAACAAACCATATAAGCAAAATTTCCATCTATTTTCTATGAAAGATACAAAAAATCTGCATCACATGTTTATTGTATACAAATTGCTTTCAATATCATTTTTACTTCCGTATTATCGGAATCGTAATGATAAACACATTGCAGTAAAACAAGACACAGCATTGTATATTCTCAGTCATCATTTTATTGTGCTCACAATGATTGGATTACTACATCAAGACTTAGCGTTATCACCAGCCTTTACTTTGATGTCTCTGTAGTGTTTTCATACGGTAACAATAAAAACCATTAAGAAAATCTTGAAAGCTCTTTTATGATGCCGTACTATGAGAAGTAGTTTGGATGTCGTAATTTTGGATGACAATATATATCTTATACTTACACAAATAGACACTTCTTGTTCTCACAATACATGCATTATAGGGATCAAGATAACGCTCAATAGAATAACTGAATAACATTTATTTTATATAACAATTTTATAACAGGATTGAAAATTAATATTGCTCCAAAACATATCTAAAAAGATTCTATGATTTGAATAAATTATTAAAATGAAATTGATGTATAGTTCATGTACTAATTCGGAATATATGTAGCATATATTTTCTTCACTTACACAACATATTTATTTTAAATGGGATTAAATATTGAAAAATCGCACGTCGGTAAATTCAGTCTAATAAACATAATTATAACCATTTTGATATTCCACTATATGTGCCAATAGCAACAATCTTCCTATGAAGACAATGACATGTTTGGTAACTTTGCATGCAGACAGACGGACAGATAGATAAAAAGCAGATATTAATCAATACAAATTGTAAGGAATTATATCTTTGGACATTGCTTCACATGACTTATTTCTCGCAATTACATGTATTATACACAGTCCTGGAGAAGCAGAGCTTTGTTCCGTAGATGTTGGGGCTGTTTAGTAATACTCAGTACGTAAAAGGCGTGAGCAAAGGAACTCAATTGTAGAATTATGGCAACTTTCACAATTTTGGCACGAAAAGATGATTTATTTTTCGCACTGTATCGAATGACATTGATTTTCCGTCACAATCTCTTAAGAAAGGCGATTCTTCATCCCGAAAACACGCCAGGCTAATTTGCTACTCACTATCAAGTTACGTTTTCTGTTTTTGGTATGTAAATCAAAACCCTTTTAAAGAAATGGAACAAAAATGATATCTTTTACGGTGAATACTAGCGGCTAACTGCGTCTTGTAATTGATTTTCGCACTGGAGTTTTGCTGATAAGGCCTACAATGATACGAAATTTTTGTGTGGCGTTTTATGGCAAAGAACACGTCTGGTAATCAAATAAATGGAATAAATCTGAAGCAAGTTTTGTGAATTTGATGTACATGGGGTTTTAGACCGGACTTGCTATTTCCTTTTTTACATATCACTAGGAAGTACTGCTTTTGTGTTGGCAGACTTTATCTATTTACAAAATATGTATACATCAATGTTATTGAACAGGAAGAAATGTTTAGGTCAGCAATTTGAATCCCTGTTATCAGTTTTTTTTTAATTTGAGAGGAA